GAGAGTCCTTTATGTATTGTAGATATGAATCCTTCGTCAGATCTGTGGTTTGCAAGTATTTTCTCCCAGTGTGTAGCTTGTTTTTTCATCTTCTTTATAGGTCTTTTGCAGAGCAAAAGTCTTAAATTTTGATGAAATCAAATTCATCCGTATTTTTCTTTTATGGATTGTCTTTGATATGTCTAAGACCTTCAGCAAGTCCTACGTCCTTAAGATTTTCTCCTGTTTTCTTCCAAAGATTTTATAGTTTTATGTTTTATATTTAAATCTGATCCACTTTGAGTTAATTTTTATATAAAATGTGAAGGTTAGTTTGAAGTCCAGTTTTTGCCTATGGATATCCTGTTGTTTCAACAATTTGTTGAAAAGTCTTTCCTTCTTCCAATGAATCATTCTCATACTTTTTGTCCAAAATCAGCTGGGCTTACTTGTGTGGGTGTATTTCTGGGTGCTGTATTCTGTTCCATTCATCTGTGCATGTATACTGCCAATACTACCCTGTCTAACTCACTATATGTAAGTCTTAAGATTGGATAGTGAGTCTTCTCACGATATTTTTCTTTTTCCGGACTTGCTTTAGCTATGCTAGTTCCTTTCCTTTTCCACATAAATCTTGGAATAATCTTGTCTGTATTTACAAAGAGATCTAGCTAGGATTTTGATAGGAATACACTAGCCTATAGATCAATTTGGGGAGAATTGACATCTTTACTGTGATGAGTCTTCCAATCCATGAACACAGTATATCTCTCATCAGCATTTTGGACTTAATCAGTATAAAGTTGCTTTTGCACCTCTGTCAGAAATCAGTTGGCCCTACTTGTATAGGTCTGTTTCAGGTCTCTATTCTATTTCATTCATCTGTGTGTCTATTCTTTGGTCAATAACAGGCATTCCTGATTACTGTTGCTATATAAGCCTTGAAATTGGATAGAGTGATTCCTCCACTTTATTCTTCTTTCCATTGTCGATTCAGCTATTATAATGCATTTACTATTTATTTATTTATGGCTGCGTTGGGTCTTTGTTGCTGCGCATGGGCTTTCTCTAGTTACAGCGAGCAGGTGCTACTCTTCATTGTGGTGTGCGGGCTTCTCATTACGGTGGCTTCTCTTGTTGTGGAGCACGTGCTCTAGGCATGCAGGCTCAGTAGTTGCGGCATGAGGGCCTAGAGCACGCAGGCTTCAGTAGTTGTGACCTGTGGGCTTAGCAGTTGTGGCACATAGGCTTAGTTGCTCCGCAGACCAAGGATCGAACCCATGTCCCCTGCATTGGCAGGCAGATTCTTAACCACTGTGCCACAGGGAAGTCCTTCATTTGCCTTTTAATATAAATATTAAAACAATATTGTCTATATCTACAAAAAAATTTTGTTGGGTTTGTATTAGGAATTCTGTTAAACTGGTAGATCACATTAAGAATTGACCTCTTTACTACATTAGTTATCTCTATCCATGAACGTTGTCTCTCCATATATTTAGATCTTTTTTGATTTCTTAATTTTGTAGTTTTCAGCATACAAGTAATATACATGTTTGTTAGTATTTCATTTTGTTTAGAGCCGATTTCCATGTAGTTAAAAGGCTGTTCAAATTATTTCATATTTGTTTGTGCCTTTTGAGGAATTGGTCCATTTTACTTATATTGTCATTTTGTGTGAGTAGTGTTAATATTTCTCTGTCATTCTTTTGCTGTCTATATGGTCTATAGTGATATCCCCATTTTTATTCTTTATGTTTGGTAAGTTGTGTCTTCTCCTTTGTCTTTGTCAGTCTTGCTGGAGGTTTGTTAATTTTATTGACCTTTTTGAATAACGAGCTTTTTGTTGAATTGACTTTTCAGTTTTCAATTTCATTCACTTCTGCTCGTATATTTATTATTTCCTGCCTCCTGTGAGGTAAAGGTTGAAGTCTGAGTTCCCCTTGCTGCATCCTTTGATATCCTGAGAGAGAGGCCCTCCTCCTTACTGGTCAATGGTGTGGAAGTTGATGCTCCCACCAGGCCTCTGTTGATACCTCCCTGGCTAGTAGGGGTATGGGTGCCTACTTACTGCTTCCCATGTGTTCTTCATTGACACATCTAAGGAGTGGGGATATAGGGGTGAGGGAGGTTACTGGTAAATAGCGATAAAAGTCCAGACTTTCCACTACCCTACAGCATGGAGGTGGAGGGGTACCTCATTACTGTCCTGGAGTTACAAGCTCAGGCTCCTCACATAGTCTCCACTGACACTGCTGGGGGCCTCATTACCACCCAGTGAGGACCAAAGCCCTAACTCCCCACCAGGCTTCTCTGACAGCCAGCAGGAGATGGTTGGGGCACCTGGTTTCTGCTTGGCCAGGGTAGAAGTCTAGGCTTCCCCTTGGGTCTTTGTTGGTGGGAGAGGAAGCACATTTTTTTCTGTGGTGTTTTGCTGGAGTAGTTTTCTTTCTTGCCAGGCTGCCCTTTTCCTGTCCTCTGGATAGAGGGAACAGGCTTTTGTGGACTTTTCTTTGTTTACACCTGTTGATATTTCTGAGATAGTAGCTTCATGAGCACCTACTTTGGCATATATGAGGCTAAAAGAAAACCCAGTGAACTCACCGTTGTCATTCCTTGGGTCCTGAGGTCTCTAGACAGTCTGCCTCCTGTCTACCTTTCTCAGTTTTATGTAGGCTGTCTAGAATCTTTAGCTGTACTTATCTGGAATAAGGAAAAACATGTTTACTCAATCTTTCTATTTTGTGAAATGCATTGTCACATTTTTACAGATTTTAATTACTAATTTCTTGTCAGTGCTGTGTGTCAGGTATATCTTCTCCCAATCAGGGGCTTATCTTCTCACTTTCTTCATGGTAATCTTTTGTGTAACTGTAGTTCTTAACTTTACTGAACTTACTCATCTTTCTCTTATGCCCTTGCTCTTTGTTTCTTTCTTTTTTTTCTTTTGCGGTACACGGGCCTCTCACTGTTGTGGCCTCTCCCTTTGCGGAGCACAGGCTCCTGACATGCAGCCTCAGCGGCCATAGCTCACGGGCCCAGCCGCTCCGTGGCATGTGGGATCTTCCCGGACCAGGGCACGAACCTGTGTCCCCTGCATCAGCAGGCGGACTCTCAACCACTGCGCCACCAGGGACGCCCATTGCTCTTTGTTTCTTGATTGAGAAATTTATTCCAACTCTAAGGTTACACAGATACTCTCCTGTATTTCCTCTTGAAAGTTTTAAAGTTCTTAATCTATCCTATCCAGAAGAATTTTTTTAATTTAATTTTATTTTTTTATACAACAGTTTCTTACCAGTTATCTATTTTATACATATTAGTGTATGTATGTCCATCCCAATCTCCCGGTTCATCCCACCACCCCACCCACCCTGCTTTCCCCACTTGGAGAATTATTGTTTGAATTAAGGAGAGATCTGATTTCATCCTTCTCCCACTGTAGCAAACTATAGCACCCCTTTTCCACCAATTTCTAGTGCCACATCTGTCTTGTGTTTCTGGTACGTATATTCTGTTCCATTTTTGTTTATCCTTTCATAAATATCACACCATCTTAATGACCATAGCTTTATATGTTTACTGTCTTATTTGTTAGACATGTTCCCCCAGCTTGTCAAAACTCTACTGCAATCCCTGTTGGTATTATTATTAAAAACTGCATTGAATGTATAGACATGTCTGGGGAGAACTGGCATCTTTACCATCAAGAACATGGTGTTTTCATTACTTAGATTTTTTTTTAATGATTCTAAATATAGCTTAACATTTTTCTACACAATGGCCTTATACATTTAAAAAAATTTACTACTAAGTACTTTTCTTTGTTGCTATTGTAAAATAGTTTTTTTAATTAAAATGTTTGTTTATTGCTTGTATATACAAATGAAATTGACCTTTGGATTACTTTGTGTTCATTCTTATGCATTTCATTTTGAAAAAAATGTATCTGGGGACCTTACTGCAGTCTCCTTGGTACAAATTACTGCATCAAGTTTATATTAAATTTTTTAATTTAATCAAAAATTTAGATTTTAATTCATTCACAATTATTAATTATTTATTGTTTTACCAATCACTATGAAAGAGTCACACCCCCCCCCACCCAAAAGGAACGCTATTTGCACCTGTTAAAGGAAGCAGATTGGTGTTTCTGAATCGAGATTCAAAACAAAAACAAACATAAACAAATGGGTATGTCTGTATTCCACTTTCAGAAATCCTGATTCCATAGGTCCAGAGAGAACCAGAACTCTCATTCTTTTAAAGTCTCCATATGATTCTGCACATCTCTATTTGAAAAACACTGTGAGAGAAGTTGCTAAACAATAAAAAGAATAGTCAAAAGGATATTTATTTGGAAGGTTATCTCATTTAAAATTATGAGCATTCATTCATCATTTAATATACTAGTGTGGGACATATACACATACACACCACATGTATACACACATGTGTGGGTGCACACACGCATTTAAAACCCCTGTATATACATAAATTGAATTGCTTTGTGTTAAGTAATAGGTATGAATTTGAAGAGAGTGGACATTCACAGAATCCATTCACAGTTTGGATGAGATGTGTTGGGTTAGGACTCAGTATGTTTGTATTAAAACTTAGAATGTGAGCTCATGGATATAAAGAACAGAATTGGTGGTTGCCTGAAGTGGGGGTGGGGGTGGGGCGAAATGGGTGAAAAGGGGCAAAAGGTAGAAATTTCCAGTTATAAAATGAGTAAGTCATGGGGATGTAATGTACAGCGTGGTGACTATAGTTAGGAATATTGTATTGTATATTTGAAAGTAGCTAGAGGAGTGGATCTTAAAAGTTCTCACCACCAGAAAAAAAAAGTTGTAATTGTTCATGGTGACAGATGTTAACTGAATTTTTGTGGTGATCATTTTGTGATATATACAAATATCAAATCATTACATTGTACACCTTAAACTAATTTTAATGTTATGTCAGTTATACTTGAATTTAACCAAAAACAACTTAGAACACAATTTTGTCTTTCCTAGTGGGAGTCATTCGATGTCCAGTTTGCAGCCAAGAATGTGCCGAGAGACACATCATAGATAATTTTTTTGTGAAGGACACTACTGAGGTTCCCAGCAGTACAGTAGAAAAGTCTAATCAGGTAAGTGTATTAAGTCTTGAATCTTTTGCCTCCTCTTAATGAGGCAGCCTGAAATGCTGGAGAACTTACCATGCATTTGGTAGGTTTGTCTCAAACATATCTTTTAATTAATTTCAGATGCCCCCTTCACCTTGCTTGGCTTTCTTTTTCCTTCCTTTTAACATATTTGCTGGATAAACTGGGTTGTTGGTCCGGTAGAGTTAACCTTATTGTGAATTCTGCTGACCTCTCCTTAAGTCATTTAACATGCTTCCCTGTCTCCTGTATTTTGTGTAAACTGGTGATAAAAATGTAGAGGCTGTTTCATAAGAATACTTTCATCCATATGTCTGTGTGTATTTCAAGCAGGAAGCTTATGATGTCTGGTTGTCTTTTTCCTGATGTTAATGGCGTTAATGAGCACTGCCAAAATTCCATATTTCATTAGGACTTTGAAAAATGGTGACATTTTCATTCTGTCATTCCTCTTTATTTCTCAACTGGAAGAGAAAAAAAAGCTTCCTTCTTCTATTCTTAGGTTATACAGGAAAGGTGGTTAAATGCTTGATTCTTTCCCTTTAGTTGCTAATTATTAGAGTAGTGACTTAGTTTCTTAGCATTCTTCAGAGGTGACTAATGAGTGGTGTGTATGTGTGTTTATTGTTATGAACTCATGGATTTTTAACATAAAATGTGTTGTAGTTATCCTTATTGGTGCTCAATTTGTGCCATCTTGGCAGTGAGGATTCCCGAACCCTTCTGATACAATCGCAGTGTCACTGGCAGGTGGTTGGTTCGCCTAGGAGCCTTGGTTCCTTTTAGTCTGAAATGGTATTTAGAGAGCACAATATGGATACTAGGGGTGCTCATCACCATTGAGTTGGTCATTTTTCTAGGACTTTCAGGAGAATGATTTAACAGATACTTTCTATTTTAAAAAGAGAGGAAGGGAAAATATAACAAGTATATATTGACATTTTGAAGTTGAATCTAGCATTGTAGATGTTCACAGAAAACTCAAGCAAATAGGAAGCCAACTAAGACGATCAAGTCCCTTTTTCCTCTGGCATTGCAGTCTTCCTCCAGCACCACCTATTGCTAGAATCTAATGTGGAGCCAGCTCATTAAGCATAATTGAGCCTTGCAGAGTAAGAGTATAGAAGAATAGAATTGGTACTGAAAATGGAGATTATAGCATTATCTCTGTCAAAACAGAAAACAAGAAGACAATAATTACTATATGTATGTACTGGCGATATTCAATCAAATCATCATGTTTTAAAGTTATTTGAAATAAGTAATTCTTCTCTGTATGGTTAAGCCACCCACTTGATAGGCAGGTGCATTAGTTTCATTTTGCTTTTGTTTAGGGTTTTGTTTAGGGCTTTAGTTTTTTTTTTAATTTGAAATTTGTTTAACTACATATAGAACATTCATATACTGGTTCCAAAATAAAATCTGTGAAACAGAGTATATTCAGAGAACTCAAACTTCTATCTCCATCTCACCTACCCCTCTACCTTATTTTTTCTCTACCTTATGGCTAACCATTTAATTTCTTTTATGTTTTATCCTTACACTTTTAATATTATTTTATAATCTAAGTGATTTTATGTTATTTTTAAGATTTAAGCAAATAAGTCATCCCATCCCATCCTCATCTTTCCTAGATAAGCAGTGGTATGATATGCTTTAACACTTTGCTTTTTTACTTTTACTTTTTATACTAGAGGTCCTTCCTTAACATTATGTATAGAAATCCCGTAGTCCTTTTGCCGCATAATGTGGAGATTAAGTTTTAGGTGACATACTTATAGAGGTGATAGTTGAAGCCGAGGGAGTAGGTGAGACCAATCCCTAGACCTAACAAAAATCTACAGAATCAGAGGAGAAAGAGTAGTGGTGGGGTCCAGAGAGGCAATCTGGGAGATAAGAGAATCTGGAAGGGTTAAGGAATCCAGATGACTTCTAGGAAGTAAGAGTCAGTGGCATCAAAAGATGTTAGACAGGTAGAAGACAAGAACTGAGAAAGGGCAGGTTTTGGTTTATGGAAATATTATCCAGGTATTTGGAATTTGGCTAATGTAAACCACTGACTGAGGGGAAAAATTTTTTTCCCATCCACAAATGATATCATGAGGACTGCTTATGTGTTGTGTAACCTTAATACCTGTTCTCAGAGAATAGTGCCACCATCTACACAGTTATATAAGCTGGAAAAAAAGGTGCTATCTCTTCTTCATTTCATAGCCAGTGCGTCCTCCAAACCAGTCAGTTTTACTTCCCAAATCTCCTTCATTCATCTCCACTTCTACCACTGCAAAGGGCTCCTACCTATCTCTGTGCAGAAGCACTTGCCCTTTTTCTAATCTCTTCTCTACATTGCAGGGACAGTGATTTTAAAAATGCACATCTGGCCATGTCACTTACTTACTTAAAAGCTTTTAGGAGACTTCTGAGACAAAGACCAAAATTGTCACATGATCCTTCTTGATCTGGCCCCTGCCTTGCCACCAGCTCCTTCTGTTGCCAGTTTTCCCCTTGATCTCTCCACTTGAGTCCTACTGGCTTTCTGTCACTTCTTTGAACCTGCCATGTTCTTGCTGGAGGCTTTGGTACATGCTGTTCTCTCTGCCTAGAAAGCTTTCATCAGTAATTGATGACTCAACTTTCTTATCTTGGTGCAAATATGATCTCTTTAGAGAAAGCTTTGCCTGGGTAATCTCTTCTCTCATTTTCCCCAACCATTCAACCCCACTAAAAACAGATTACTTTCCCCCATCATATGTTCTTCTAGCTTCTCATACTTTTTCCTTTATGGCACTTCTCAACTTGTAGTTATGTATTAGTATTATTGTTTCAGTAATGTTTGACTTCCTCACAACCACTCAGTAAAATTCATCTTTACAACCACTCAGTAAAATTTATGTTATTACCCTTATTTTAAAGATGAGCATTCTAAGTAACCTGTCCAAGACTACTCATCCAGTAAGTAGGGGAACTGGGATTTGAACCTACATTTCATCTAGGAGACTGGATGTCATAAGGGCAAGGATTGTGCTTGCTTTTTCTGATGGTTATATCCTCAGCAGTTAGCATAGTGCCTAGAATATTTGATATATTGAACTAAGGGCAATGTCCTTATATTTCCATTTCATATGTTTATAATTTAAAACATAGTGTCAGTTTAAATTTATGAACACTGTTAAGAAGATAACTGATAGAGTCAAGTATAGTTGGTATATCATTTATGTATGATTAGTCATGTGACCACCTTTTCTTTATTCTCAAAAATTGACGTGACGTTTCTTTTATTAGGTATGTACAAGCTGTGAGGACAATGCAGAAGCTAATGGGTTTTGTGTAGAGTGTGTTGAATGGCTCTGCAAGACATGCATCAGAGCTCATCAAAGGGTGAAATTCACAAAAGACCACACTGTGAGACAGAAAGAGGAAGTATCTCCAGGTAATAAATTAATTTTTAAATTTTGTTTTTTCTCTATCCCTCCCAAGTCATTCTTTCTTTCCCATGCTAACTTGTTTTTTTTTTTCTTGCGGTATGCGGGCCTCTCACTATTTTGGCCTCTCCTGTTGCGGAGCACAGGCTCCGGACGCTCAGGCTCAGCTGCCATGGCTCACGGGCCCAGCCATTCTGCGGCATGAGGGATCTTCCCGGACCGGGGCACGAACCCATGTCCCCTGCATCGGCAGGCGGACTCTCAACCACTGCGCCACCAGGGAAGCCCTACTAACTTGTTTTGATACACTCATAAGCATTAAATATACTCTTGTCTTTTACTACAAGGAAGTCTGTATTATGGCTGAATTTGAATACTTGTCAATGTTGGTCAGTATGAATAGATACAGAATTCTGCTTTATACTCACAACCCTCCTTCTCCTATAAATGCCTTAATTTGGTATGAATGTACAACATGTGAAAAAGTTGTCTTTAACACTTATTTTCGGGGCTTCCCTGGTGGCACAGTGGTTGAGAGTCTGCCTGCTGATGCAGGGGACGCAGGTTCGTGCCCCGGTCTGGGAAGGTCCCACATGCCGCGGAGCGGCTAGGCCCGTGAGCCATGGCCGCTGAGGGTGCACGTCCGGAGCCTGTGCTCCGCAACGGGAGAAGCCACAACAGTGGGAGGCCAGCGTACTGCAAAAAAAACATAAAAACTTATTTTCTATATACACTATTGATACTATGTATAAAATAGGCAACCAACGAGAACATACTGTATAGCACAGGGAACTCTACTTAATGTACTATAGTGACCTAAATGGGAAGGAAATCCAAACAAGAGGGGATATATGTATACATGACACATTTTGCTGTACAGTAGAAACGAACACAACATTGTAAAGCAACTATATTCCAATAAAAATTAAAAAATTTTTAAAAACTTATATTCTCTCTTGTCTCTTATTTTTAAGATGATAAGGGGTGGGCTTAAAAAAAGTTTTACAACTCTTTTCTCTCTGATATTCTTATAGTAAACCTGTTTCATGATATTTGTTGTATAGATAACCAAAGAAGTTTTGCTTTTTATGTATTTAATTGTGGTTTCTGGGTTCTTATTGTGTTGCTTATGCTTATAATGTAAAGTTCACTAATAACATTTTTTTTACAGTAAAATATGTGTAACTTAAAATCTGACATTCTAACCATTTTTAAGTGTACAAATCATTGGCACTAATTGTATTCAAAGTATTAGGCAACCATCACCACCATTTCCAAAACTTTTTTAGCCCTTCCAAAAGAAACTGTACCCAATACATAATAATTGCCCATTCCCCTCTCCTCACCATTCCCTGCTAACCTCTAATCTACTATCTGTCTCAGTGAATTTGCTTATTCTAGATATTTCATACAAGTGGAGTCATAGGGTATTTGTCCCTCAATGTCTGGCTTATTTCACTTACCACAGTAGTGTTTTCAGGTTTTATCCATGTTGTAATATTTATCAGCATTTTGTTGATTTTTATGGCTCATTAGTATATTTCTGTTTAAAAATTAATCCACTGCTTTTTATTCATTGAGTCAACCAGTGTTTGTATGCCTGTTCTATATTCCAGGAACTTTGCTAGATTAAAGAGATGAAAAAGTGAATAAGATAGGTACTTCCTACCCTCCAGAAGTTATTAGTATGATGAAGACTGTGAACAAATTAGCAATCATAGTTTAGCCTCATAAGTTCTGTAGGAGCACATGAAAGGAGTATCAAACTCAGATTTGGGGATTTACATTGAAGGCCACGTCTGGGACTTCAAGGATGAATGGAAGTTCATCATAAATGAGAAGGGTGGGGAAAACTGAAGCACATGCACAAATTTCCAGAGGGGGAACATTGAGTGTAGCTGGAGAGTAAGATGCAAGAAGAGGAGAAGTAAGAGATGAGGCTAGGAGTCTTGAGACACAGGAAAAGGGGGATATAATTTCTGAGAACACTGATGAAGAAGAGACACAAAAGAGAAAAGGCCAGGTATATACTCAGGTAAATTTAATAGATTAGTTCTAGAAAGACTTCTGTTTTTCTGTAAAGTCAGCCATCTATTGAAAAAGAGAGCAGAGGAAATAGGACTGAAAGGTAAGAAATATGGAGGATATTTGAAATAACTCCAGTTGAAAGAGAGCTCTAGCTTTGGAAATAGGATTGCTTGGTAGCATCAAGGTTACATTTGGTATAGTCCTTAAAACTTCCTCTATCAGTCCTCGGCAGTCTGATATAGTTATAGAGAAGAATTGAACTATTTAGGGTTGGGGTTTAGCCGGACCAACATTCTAGAAGTTCCACAGGATAAGAGATGCGGATATAGGCATGTGTTGACATGAAGAATTTGGGGATTTTAACTGTATAAAGAAAGTGAAGTTGACAGTGTCAGTTGATAGGGCGAAATAAATGGTTAGGGACTAGAAATATCAGTGAGGTACAGTGAGAGTAGTTTAACTAAGAATTGGGAAGTTAGAAAGTAGAAGTTATTAGAGTGGGATATTTGAATTTATGATTATAGAAATGGAATAGTAATGGACAATAAATCTAGGGTGGGACCATGGTGTGTATGAAATGGAATAAGTAGCTAAAATGAAGTACAAGTCTCTAGAGATGAAAAAGTCTGAGAGGCTTGTCTTTATGTGGTACTCTCTGTGGACTTCCGAATCATCCAGGATGATGATGAGACTAAGGGCTAGGAGGATGACTATGAGTCAGGATTGAAATTCTTCATAAATAAAGGAAGTCTATAAAGGGATGACATGATGTCATAATTATCTAAATCAGAAGCTCTATAAATAATTATTCCTGAAGAGCAGGTACAAACCAGGATGTCCCAAGCCAACTAAGGATGTATGGTCACCCATCATCTACTGTGATGCCCAGATGATATGAACCTCAAGGAGAAGGGTGCAGGGAGCTATGACAATAGTAATGTTGAACCATTTTTGCTTTGCTGGAATTAATTCCATTTGGTCTTGATGTGTTGTGCTTTTAGTATTCTTTTAATACATTGCTAATTTTCTCTATCTGGTTGTTTTCCTTTTTTTGTTCAGAATTTTATATATTTTTCCCTTTTTGATATGACTAAATAGTAGTTTACCTTTTTGTTTTTATCCCTAAATTTATCTAATTACCCTCAATATATTTTTTAGTTCATTAATTTTTAATTCCTCTCAGCTTACCTTGGTATTGTTTAATCAGTCATTGTATTTATTTGTATTCTAATTTTTCTATTTAACATTGTAGCATAAGCATTGCCCAGTTTTATCTCCACTCTAGATAACTATTAAGAAGTTATGTGGATGACTACAGTGTAATAGTGTAAACTTTATGATTATCTCTGTGTTAATGGGTATCCTCTGTTAGGAATTTTGCAAAAGTGGAGAAATAATTTTTCCACCACCTCTTTTATACATTTTTATTAGATTTTTCTGCTTTGCATTAAAAAAAAAAAAACTCCCACATTTGGAATACAAAACATTCCAGTTGGTTCCGTTCGCTTAACTGGGCTATTAAGATTTTTTAATTTCATAAAACATCTTTTTAGCTACACACTTCCTTTTTCTCCTGAATTAATTTTAATTTTTACACTGAAAAGTGGAAAGCTCATTTATCTTTTCCTCCAGAAATGCAAAAAATACTTAATATTTTATTATCTGTAAAACCTGCTGGTAATGGTGGTGTCAGTGAAACTGTAGCTCCTTTATATCTCAATGGACTTTAATTTAAATGAACAATCTAATAATTATTTACTATTCAGTTATGTTAATTTTCTTCTTTTGCCTCCCATTGTCTCTACAGAGGCAGTTGGTGTGACCAGTCAGCGACCAGTGTTTTGTCCTTTTCATAAGAAGGAACAGCTGAAACTTTACTGTGAAACATGTGACAAACTGACATGTCGGGACTGCCAGTTATTAGAACATAAAGAGCACAGGTACCTGCATCTTTCCTACATACATAGATTTATAATACAGCTTTATGAGGACTAGACGACTGCTGGCACCCCAGCCAAATGGCCGTCTGCAAATAATGTTTTGTTTGGCCATCAGTATGTTGGCCTAGTTCAAGATTTTTCAACTTTGGTGCTGCTGCCTTTGTTGTGGGGGCTATCTGGTACATTGTATGGTGTTTAACTGCACCTTTGACCTCCATTTACTAGATTCCAGTAGGATTCTCCCAGTTGTGACAACCAAAAAATGTCTCTAGACGTTGCCAAATGCCCTAGGCAGCAAAATCACCCTAGCTGAGAACCACTGGCTGACGCGCTTTTTTAAACTATATGGAATTAGTTGCCAGCGTTGTAAATAAAATTTTATGTTTTAAAAAAACATTTAGATCTCTGGCTTTGGTTTTGTTTTTTGTTTTCTGGGTTTTTTTATTTTGTTTTTTAAGAAAATTGAATCTGTTTTAGCCCTAGGTCCCATATATTCAATACTTTCATGTCAGTATTTGACTGGAATTGACTTTAGTCATCTTTAGGATGGGCATGCTCTTCTAATTCATCATAGTTCCTACCAAAGCTTACTTTTAAACCTGTCCTCCATAGGCATTTGAATTAGCAACAACTGAATTAAACAGTAAGATTCTGATAAACTGATACAGATATAATTGGTTGAAAAAGGTCTTCCAATAATGGCAGACTAGGTAATTTGGACCAGCCATACCAGTGAGGGTAACTAGAAAACATGGACAAAATACAGAAATCATTGATAAGGTATTTTTAGAGCTTGGTAATAAAGAATTATTGGACCAGGATTGGGTTGGAGTGGGGATAGAGAATGGTACAGGCTTTTTTCCCCTTGGAAGCATTTGCCTAGAGGTTGAGGGGTGCTTTTAATATGCTCACAGGGCTGAAAGACAGGGATTGGAGTTCAGGGTCACAGGAGTTAAAGGCTTCTTCTTGCCTTGAGTTGGGATTCTGAAAGTCTACTCTATTATGGTAAAGATGAATGAGCTAGTAAATATTACAGTTCCTCACTGGAACTAAAGTGCAGAATCAGATCTTCTCAGTACCCAAAGTTGGATTAAATTGAAATCTTATTGCTTGTGCCCCAAGTTACCTGTTAGAATAAAATGTAAATCCTCCCTGGAGGAAGAAAACATCATCCTAGACCTCAGATTTATTTAATAATGAGTTTTACAAAATGATTCAGCACACAATTAGAAATAACCAAATATGCTAGGAGATAAGACAGTGTGAACAATGTCTAGAACTTACATTACAGTAACTGAAATTAACTCAATAGAGGGTTTAAGAGCAGGTCTGACATGCCAGGAAATGAGAATTAATGAACTGGGAGAAAATTAAGAAAACATCAAAATGAAGCATAATAAACAGAAAGATGGAAAATGGAAGAGGGATCGAGAAGATGTAACACAAGGTGTAATTGAGGTCCAAGAAAGAGAGAGAAGAATGGGAAGGAAGCAACATTTGAGGGCAGAATATAATGGCTTAGAACTTTGTAATACTGAAGAAAGACATCTAGCCCATATTCAAGAAGCCCCATAACTCCCCAGCAGGATAATTAAAAAATAAAGTAATATTTTTGAAGTGCAAAAAGAAAATACTATAAAACTAAAATTCTATACCCAGTGAACATAATCTTCAGAAATGAAGGTTTATAAGAAAGACGTTTTCAGACAAAATAAACTGGGAGAAGTTATCCCCAGTAAACACTCACAAAAGCATACATTAGGCAGAAGAAGAACGGTAGGTGATGCATGATGGAAAGAACGGCTGAAATGATAAGTATGAGTAAATCTAAATAAATGTTGACTTACACAGTAATGTCTTGGTGTGTCATGTGTGTGTTAAATATCACACAGATATGTTAGGAGGATATGGAGTTCATGTTCTAAGGTTCATGCATTGCTTAGGAAGAAGGTACTAAACTACAAGTTATTCTTAGATGATAAGTTAAGATCTGCATTTTTTAATGCATAGAGTAGTCACTAAACGAATAGTAAAAGTCAATATGATTATCAAGATAACAGAGGGAGAAAGTAGAAAAATTAACAATTAGTCTAAACACAGGCCAAAAAAGAGAATAGGAACAAAGAACAAATGGGATTTAATAAGACTTGATAAGTTGGTATATCTCTAAATATATTTGTAATTATAATAAACGTGAATGGATAAAATGTTCCAAATTAAAAGATTCTAGGCTGGATAAGAAAGCAAATAAAGAATCTGCTACTTGCTTTTTGTGAGAGAAACATCTAAAACCTAAGTATATAAAAAGAATGATGAGAAAAGCTATGCCATACAAACACTAATCAAAGGTAAGCTGGTATATCAAAGTACATTATTTGAGATAAAGAGAGAAACTTTATAACAATAAAAGGCTCTTTTTGTCTAAAAGATATAATAGTTCTAAATTTATATTCCTCATAGCCTTACAAAATATAAAGAAAAAAGGCAGAGACAAATCCACATAGTGGGAAATTTAACATGTTTCTCTCAGTAATCGGCAAAACAAGCAGACTAAAACTCAGTAAGGATATTTCAGTAAGAGTCAAAAAACACAATTAGCAAATGACCTCATGGACATTAAGGACACTGCACCCAATGATAAACATTATTTCCAAACATAAAAAAGGAAAAAATCAATTAACCATATGCCAGGGCAGTTTTATATTTCAGAAGATCGAAATCATATAAATTCTTGTGTAAACTCAATGCAGTCAATCTAGAAAACAATAATAAATGAGAAAAATCTCCATATATTTGAAAATGAAGAAATGTAATTCATATCAAAACACAATGAGGTATGATCCTGGACTGTATCCTGGACTAGAGAGGGGAAATGATATAGAGGACATTATTGAGACAAATCACATAATTGGAGAATGGTCTGTAGATTAGATGAAAGTATTATCTCAGTGTCAGTTTTCCTGTATTTAGTAATTATACTGGGGTTACGTAATAGAATGTCCTTGTTTTTAGGAAATGCATACTAATTATTAAGGAGTTAAAGGACTTTGCTGAGGAAATATTTGAAAATCTTTGTAAAGGTATACATGAGACCTCTGTGCTATTGCAAATCTAACTTTGAAATTATTTCAAAGATAAGCAGGTAAAAATAAATTTAAAGCATCAAAGAAGAAATTCCAATGAATATTAGAAAATATTTTTATCTGAGTGATAGTGAAAATACTATCCTTGACGTATCCTGCTAAAGCCACGATTAGAGGAAAATATATATCGCTAATGCATATATTAGATATTAAGGATAAAAAGTAAATGTCCTAAACATTTATCTCAAGTTAGAAAAAGCAGCAAATTAAACCCAAAGTAAGTAGCAAAAAGGATGCAATAAATACAATGCAGAATCAAAGCCAAAAATTGGATCTTTCAAAAGATTAACAAATCTCTTTATGAATGATTAAAAAGAAAACAGACTCAAAAAACCAATGCCAGGAGTGAAAAGGGGGGGGCATCACCACATTTTCTACAGGCATTTAAAAATATAAAAAGGTTTTTTGTCAATAGATATGAAAATTTTTACATGAAGTGGGATAATTCTTAGAAAATACACTTACCAAAACTAGCACAATATAAAATAGAGAATCAGAACAGTCCTTTATTTTAGTGTAAATCCCACAAAGAAAACTACAGACCCAAATGATTTCACTGATGAATCTACAAAATAGGTAAGGTTAAAATAATGCTTTTCCTATACAGTCTTGTCCATAGAACAGTAAAGAATGAATTCTCTCCAACTTGTTTTATGAGAAATCAAAATTGAAAATTACAAACCAGTCTTACCCATGAAATGAACTTAAAATTTCTAAGAAATACATTAGGAAACCAAGTCCAGGAGCATTGTGATTTTTGGATAATAGAATCACAACTAAGTTAGCCTTATTATAGGAATACAAAGTTCATTTTACCTTTGAAAATCATTAATGTAATTCGTCCTGTTAAAAGACTAAAGGAAAAATTATATGACCATCTCCACAGAGGCAGAAGAAACAGTCAAGAAAAAATGTATATCCATGATATACAATCTTAGCAAACTAGGAATAAAAGAAAATTTCTCAAACCTGATAAAGATTATCTATGAAAAGAGCTAGAAAACATCATAATGGAATATTGTAAATTTTTTGCATTGAGTTTAGGATAAACCTAAATAAAGATGACCAGTTTGATCATTTCATTTAATAATTACATTGTATTAGGGTCCCAAAGAGTGTATAACAAAAAAAAGTTTACTAAGATAAAAAAACTTGCACCTAAGAAAGAATTTTAAATGTCAGTATTTACAAACAATATGATTATGTACAAAAGAAATCCAATAGAAATATTATTAACTGTGTGTTCCCCCTTCTTTCTAACTCTGGCAACCCTACTTATAATACTTACTGATTTAATTACACTCACACTTTTAAATCACATTATGTGAAATAATGTATTTTGTGCATTTTATGAAAAACTTTTAATAAAACTCTTTTTATGTATCTTACACATCATCTGTTTCTCTAGAGCTCCTTTAGAGTCATCTTACATAGTTTGTCAGAGGTTGTTATCTTAACTTTCAAGTCAATTTTTTTTTAATTTAGGTATTTTATGATATTGTTGCTTGAAGCTTTGTCACACGCAAGGCATAACATCAGGAGTTTTACCCCCATCACCTCACTTCCCCCCATTTATTAAAAGCATGCAATATTTGTTATTTGTGACCTGTAGCACAATGAATATTGAAAAGTATATTTAAACCTGTTATTTAAAAGTGATCTTCAAAATATTTGTTTACAAAGCATCAAACTTTCATAATTATGAAATTGCAAAATAGTTAATAAATCTACATAGATATTTATCTATGATTACTTTTTGCCAGGTCCACCAAGGGAGCCTGTTAAGCTTGTAAAACTGAATGATTGAATGTGTTTTTCTCAGATTTTAAAAATTATTTAAAGAGTGTCCATGGACTTACCTGGTGGCGCAGTGGTTAAGAATCCGCCTACCAGTGCAGGGGACATGGGTTCGAGCCCTGGTACGGGAAGATCCCACATGCTGCGGAGCAACTAAGCCTGTGCGCCACAACTGTTGAGCCTGCACGCCATAGTACCAAAGCCCACACGCCTAGATGCAACAAGAGAAGCCACCACAATGAGAAGCCCGCACACCGCAACGAAGAGTGGCCCCCACTCGCCACAACTAGAGAAAGCCCGCACACAGCAATGAAGACCCAACACAGCCAAAAATAAATAAATAAATTTATTTATTTAAAAAATAGAAATTAAAAAAATAGAGTGTCCATGATTAATATCTGTAAAGACTCCTTCCTTTTTAAGAGAGAATTTGTGGTGGGGGGGGACCTGCCTTCTGTGGATATATTTGGTATTTTAAAAAGATTATTATTTATATCCTTTATACTCATAAATAGTTTCCTATTAGTTATTTGTTTGCTTTGGGGCTTTTCCTCATTTTAGACAGACATTTGTGTGAAATAAGTTGCTTATTATTTTTTCAGATATCAATTTATAGAAGAAGCTTTTCAGAATCAGAAAGTGATCATAGATACACTAATCACCAAACTGATGGAAAAAACAAAATACATAAAATTCACAGGAAATCAGATCCAAAACAGGTAAATTTATATTTATGGTATTACTTAAATCATCTATATATAATGTGTTAAGTATATTAACTTTAAGAACAGACATTTTACTTAACTCATGGTGAAGTACATCCAAGTAAGCTGTCGGATGGGTCTAATAACACATAGTTGATAAGACTTTTCCAGAAACTTTGGATTTCTGGGAAGTTTGGAAAGTATTCTTTTCAGCCATGAAATTTCAAAACTATTATGGTAATAAGCTACATTTAATAACAGCTCATTTATCAGGTAAGTATTAATAATTTTTAATTATTTTGTGTTTTCCAATTATCCAAGAAATGCCAGGATTTAAAAACAAAACTATTTTTATAGTACTGTAAAATATTTTAACACTTAATTAGATACATAATTGCTATTTTAAGGATTGCTAGACTTAGAGATGCCTCCCCTGAGCTGTCAGCTTTTAACTGCAATGAGGCAGAGATCATAGAACACCAGGAGACAGGGCTTGTTAAACTGTTTCACATACCTTTTACTCCTTGTCAGATACAGTACTTAAACAGCTTCTACATATTGCTTGTTATACTGTTTGTCCTCCAAGGGAGTAAATCAACTGTCCAAAGGCTCATGTCCTAAAATTCAGTGATTGGAGAGCAAACCATTGACCTCTGTGGGGAGGAGGGAGTTTGCCTAGTACCCCCCTTTGCATCCCATTTGAGGCACATGCTGACATTTTACAACACCTGTGAAATCCCATGTTCCCTTTCTTTTGTTGTTTTGCACATGAAAGTAACATGTCACTGCTTAAATAGGTAAAGAAATGCTTATTAGAAAGAGCCTGAATAAGAGAGGCCTTGCAGGGGCTTTGAATGTTGTTCATAGGGAAAAGTATATCAGCCTTTTTGTAGTTCATCTTCCTTAAGATCAGTTGTCACAATCTGTTACTCATCATTTTTCAACATGGCTAGGGTGGGGCATTTGGTACTTTTTTCCAAGGAATTCCTTGGTTTACCTGCTTTCCTTAATGGAGATTTTAAACATAATTTAACCTTTTCTTGACTCCCTGGTGTTATTATTACATCTACTATACATTGTGATAATAAAAGTTCTGTTGTGCGTCTTTTAGTTTCTATTATTCTTTTGTTATCAGCTCTCATTTCATTTTACCTTTCTCTTTCACATGAGAACTGTAGTTGACCAAATACTATTTCCTTTGTCGTATTCTAATAACAGTACTGTATTTTTGCCAAATTGATGTAATTGGTGGGTTTAAAATTTTGTGTCTGAGTAATTGAAAATATATAATGAATATTTATGGAATGATAAGGGTAGATAATCTCTACCATCTAGTGGCAAACAGTAGTAATTGTAAAATAACTAATTTTATGTAAACGATCCACCGTTGATGAAATTCACCCTTTTGACTTCTTTCTTACTCTTTCACTGTGTATATGGTATGACCTATGGGCCAGAGTTTACTCTTTTTTTTTTTTTAACATATGGATATTCATTTGTTCCAACACTTGTTCTGTTTGTTGAAAAGATTATCCTGTTGCTACTAAACTGCCTTGGTACCTTTGCTGAAAATCAGTTGACCATATATGTGTGAGATTATTTTGGACTCTCTTTCCATTGTGCTTTTCTTTCTTGCTAATACCCCACTTTCTTCATGACTAGAGCTTTTTATAGTAAGTCTTAAAATCACATAGTGTGAATTTTCCAAATTTTGTTTTACCTTTTTTTTTTTTTAGTAGTAGTAGTTTATGCTCTTTTTACAAAATAATACATTATGGTGTGGAAGGATTTTAGTTTTTGAATTGTGGTAAAAATTAAAGACTGTTTGGATTAGGTGCTAATTCTTTGTATCTTTATAGCTACCTGATTATAGAAGGATTAAATTTACTGGACTGACTTTGCTATTAATTCATCTTTATGCATGTGCAAACATGGCATTACTTGTCCCTTTTTCATCCTGTTCTACCATCATGAGGATTTAAATTAGTTGGGTTTTTTGTTTTGTTGGGTTTTTTTTTTTTTTTTTTTGAGGTTGTTTGCTTCCTAGACCTATCTGGTTTCCTTGATCCTCTAGCCAATATTGATATCAAATAATTATCTTGAAGAATTTCCAATGTTGGTGGGGGGGTGATAAATTAAGAGTTTGGGATTAACATATACACACTACTATATATAAAATAGGTAACCAACAAGGACCTACTGTATAGCACAGGGAAATTATACGCAATATTTTGTAATAACGTATAAGGGAAAATAATCTGAAAAAGAATATATATATGTATGTATAACTGAATCACTTTGCTGTCCACCTGAAACTAATACAATGTTGTAAATCAACTATAATTAAAAAAAAAAAAAAAGAATTTCCAACAGAGAATAAAATCCCTGCCCTTTTCATCTTAAGTTTTGGAAGATAAGCAGGCAGAAGAAATAAAGCTTTTTTTTTTTTTTTTTTTTTTTTAAACATCTTTATTGGGGTATAATTGCTTTACAATGGTGTGTTAGTTTCTGCTTTATAACAAAGCGAATCAGTTATACATATACATATGTTCCCATATCTCTTCCCTCTTGCGTCTCCCTCCCTCCCACCCTCCCTATCCCACCCCTCCAGGCGGGCACAAAGCACAGAGCCGATATCCCTGTGCCATGCGGCTGCTTCCCACTAGCTATCTACCTTAGAAATAAAGCTTTTTGTTTATCTCAGAATGTTTGATGGTGGATGCCTCATTATTCTATTTCTGCTTTTATAAGATATTCTGGTATAATGCTATGTATTTTTTTTCCTATCCATCTTGATCTCCATGAAAATAGCATTCCCATTTTCTCTAATCAAAGGAAAAAATGTATATGCTGGTTGATAAAAACATATAGTTATTTGGCTGCTTATTTCAAGACAAATGTGCTATTAAAAGTAGCAAGCTACTATTATTGTCTTTCTGCTTTTATTCAGATATAATGAATAGGTAACAGTTCAGATGACTAAGATAATAGTGACACATTTAAGCTTTTCTACTTCTTAGCTGCAGTGAATACAGTAGAACTCATTCAGTCCTGGTTTTCCTTATCTTGTTTATAAATCATTTTTTTGTCCAACCTTTTAGGCTGAGAATTTTTCCAGGTGTCATAATCTTTCCAAATAATGTTTTCTTAAGATGTGTTCATTCTCTTGCAGTTTTATACATTTTGATTTTAAGATTGAATTGACTATGTCTTTTGGAAGAATTAATATTTCTGCTATCTCATCTTCAAGAAAGTCTATTTAAACTGAAGCACCCTTAGAAAAAGCTGAGCTTTTAAGAGCTGAAAACTTTTTGGTCTAATTTAGGGATTAGAAAATCAATATTACATACTGTAAAACAAATCTTCTGCCTTAGATTTTAGACTTCCCCCTTTTGTTTAATTTTCAGGATAATTGAAGTAAATCAAAATCAGAAGCAGGTGGAACAGGATATTAAAGTTGCCATATTTACATTGATGGTAGAAATAAATAAAAAAGGAAAAGCTCTACTGCATCAGCTTGAGGTAAGTTACTGTTAATGGGACAGTATGTTGTAGTGATTTACTGTAGTATTTTCTCGTGTATTTGAAATCACAGCCTTTTTTGTATAATTGTTTACATTTGATTCAGTAATATTTTTCTCCATTCTCAGGCTCTACCTTGTATCTGACAGTTTACGGCTGTATGATACAGTAGGAATGTCTTAATCCTTATTGTTTACTTCAGAGCACAAAATATAATGCCTTGCTTGAAGGAGGAGCTTAGTAAATATTAAAGAGATGTAAAGAGATGAATCTTTTTAGAGGTCCATTGAATTGACAGCTTTGGGTCACCAGAGGAGTGCAATTGAGCAAAGTTTTTCAGAAAGTTACATTAAGTTAGTTATATTTAGTTCTCAAATATATACATTTAACCTTACGAGAAATTAGGTAAAAGGATGTGTCTCCTGCCCTCAGCAGTCCTAACTGTGAAAGCAGTACTCAGGGAGAGATGCTCAAGGCACTTAAGATAGTTGTTTGTCACTGCAGGTAAGAAAAATATTACTAACTTCATCAGCTTTCTTATATTCATGAAGGTCAAGATCCAGAGTCAGTGTTTGACTCAAATAACATGAGGTTACAACTTCTACATGGTATCTTAACATAATATTAATTGCATGATATTTTGGTATCCATTTAATGTATTGGTGCAAAAAGAATTTAACAGTAGAGAAGCAAATTAAGAAGAGAATAAAAGAATCCTGATGTTCGGAGATTTTTAAAAAAGCCTCATAGAAAAAATTTAGTTCAACATCTTTATTTTATAGTTGACAAAATTATAAGGTCTTTGTCAGAAGGTTCTCTTCCTCCTGGGAAAGCATGGTCATTCCCATGGTTTAATCAATCATACAGGAAACAAAGACCAAAATAATTCTCTCTCCTCTTGGAAACAAATACTTAGTGAAAAAGTATTCGGCTAGGAGGAATACATTTACAGTAACTGTGTTTTCAAGGTTCTGGGGGGCGGGCGGTGGTGTGTTTTTTTTGTTTGGTTGGGTTTTTTTTTTAGATAGAAGCATTTAAACTATTTTAAAAGATTTCAAAGCTCTGCTTAAAATCAAATGTCGCATAGATTTGCTTCTCAGAGATGAATAGTGCACACATTGCTGTGGCTGTTTCCAAACTTCACTGTAAATCAGAATCACTTGAGGAGTTCTTTAAAAATCAAGATAAGGAACAAAAGATGACCACATCCCCAAATCTCTAGGGATGAACCTCGTCATCAGTATTATTTTAAATCAACTTTATTGACTTACAATTTTTTTTTTTTTTGCGGTACGCGGGCCTCTCACTGCTGTGGCCTCTCCCGTTGCGGAGCACAGGCTCCGGACACGCAGGCTCAAAGGCCATGGCTCACGGGCCCAGCCGCTCTATGGCATGTGGGATCCTCCCAGGTCGGGGCACGAACCCGCGTCCCCTGCATCGGCAGGCGGACTCTCAACCACTGCGCCCAGGGAAACCCTTAACTTAAAATTTTTGCAGCACCTTTTAAAAATGCTTTTCAGTCTTCATACCCAGTCTCCTGGTTCACAGAATCCTTCTTTTTTTTTTTTTTTTTTTTGCGGTACGCAGGCCTCTCACTGTTGTGGCCTCTCTCGTTGCGGCACACAGGCTCCGGACGCGCAGGCTCAGCGGCCATGGCTCGCGGGTCCAGCCGCTCCGCGGCATGTGGGATCTTCCCGGACCGGGGCACGAACCCGTGTCCCCTGCATCGGCAGGCGGACTCTCAACCACAGCGCCACCCGGGAAGCCCCACAGAATCCTTCTTTAAGGCGAATAAATGTAGTCAGTATTTACTAAGACTCCAGACCCAAATAGTTTGTTACTATAGAAGACCAAGAAACTTGGGCTTCTGATTCTCAATTTGCAACATCCCTAAAAGTCAACAGAATTTCTGTTCTTTCTAGAATGTGTCCAAAGTAACGCTTAGTTTTTACAGAGGTCAGAAATAGCCTAATAAGTAAATTATCTCTGGACTTAAAATTAGATACGACAAAGCCACTGATAGTCACTGCAATGACTTAATTCAGTTTAGCATATGTGTATTTTCCAAATTTGAAACCAACTAGGGCCAGGATCTAGGTTCATTTTCTCTATTGAGAATATAATTCCATATTGGAGTGTAGCAATTTTACTTTTAAACTTTTTTTTAGAGCTAGTAGAAAGTCCTGTTCTCTCCTCCTTTCCTTGCCAGGTAAAGGAGATTTGAGGTTAGAGACCTTTAAAATAGCACAGGTTCAGTGGGTTTTTCTTCCACTTGTGACTAACCTATGTTCTTGCTTGTATACTTCCCTTAGAGAAATTCTATAGTCTGCTTTTCTGTAGTTTTTTTTGAGAGTGCATTGGTACCATTAGTCACTATATCAATTGGTTCCCATGGTAATTTTCAATAGACAAAAATTATATGCTTCCTTTTTTTTTTTTTTTTTTTGCGGTACGCGGGCCTCTCACTGTTGTGGCCTCTCCTGTTGCGGAGCAGAGGCTCCGGACGCACAGGCTCAGCGGCCATGGCTCACGGGCCCAGCCGCTCCGCGGCGTGTGGGATCTTCCCGGACCAGGGCACGAACCCGTGTCCCCTGCATCGGCAGGCGGACTCTCAACCACTGCGCCACCAGGGAAGCCTGCTTCCTTTTTTTTTTTTTTTTTACTACACACAAAGCATAAATGTTGTCTACCATGTGGCATGACTTGGCACAAGCTAGTTGCAATCAGGATAAGAATGCCTAAAAGGTGAAATCATGTGCTTGAGTAAATCATGTGATCTGGTAACTTTACTTGATTGCTGGATGGTACATCTATTTTATTTGTGAGTATTGAATTTAATGGGCATTTACTGTATTATAGCTAATCCACGGTTTTGTACCTCTTTGGATACTGGAAGATGCATGAACAGAAACCTGCATCCCAAAATATGTACAACCAGACCAAGGGCCTTGGAGAGAAGGGGCAGGCAGCAGAGGCAGGGTGGCGTTGGTGGTGGCTACGGCACTGGGGGCACGGCTTTTACTTCAGTGAGAATGAGCTTTTGTACCAAGGGATAGGTTGCTATCACCTGGGTTCTTAGAGGTTATTCTAATAATGGTTATTCTAATTGGGTAATCTGATGATGACCATTAAAATGTATGTTACATGCAGAACTAATTTTGAAACTTTTTTTTTTCAGAGTCTTGCAAAAGATCATCGAATGAAACTTATGCAACAGCAGCAGGAAGTGGCTGGACTTTCTAAACAGTTGGAACATGTCATGCATTTTTCTAAATGGGCAGTTTCCAGTGGCAGCAGTACAGCATTACTTTATAGCAAGCGACTGGTAAGATAAACTAAGTATGGCATTTAACATACTATCAAAATACAGAGAGAAACAATGGAGTTATTAGAATGCTTAAAATTTAGAAATGTTCATTAGTCTGTACTTAAATGCTTTTTACCTTTTTCTAATTTTTATCAATCAAAATATTTTGGTTTTAAAAAATCTTATATTGCCATGATTGAGGCGTATCTTCAATTTTAATCTACCATCATCCCTCCTGTTTTGTTCTTTTCCAAGTTTTCTCTGTCTTAGTGGCAGTTGAACTTAATACTAACAATAAAGATAAGAGTAAACATTTCCTGATCACCTGTAGTGTGCCAGGCACTAATCCTAAGCATTTCCATGTAATATTTTATTTAAACATTTATATCATTTTTATGAGATAGGTATACCTATCCATCCATTGTATGGGTGATGAAACCAAAGCACAGAGTTAAGTAACATGCCTAAGGCCACTCAGCTTGGACACCTGAACCCAAAGGCTGTGTTCCTTTTGTCTGTACTGCGTTGTTTACTCTGTCAGTGATATATGGTGCTGGGTATTTCAACCCCATTGCTAGAGAAAAGTGGCTCTCATTTGTTCAGCTGTTTTCAGAATAGTCTAGAACCTTGCTGCTGAAAATATGGTCACTGCATACTAATCAGGTGGTTCAGTAGATGTGGGGTGAGGCCAAATTCTGTGGTTCTGACGAGCTCCCAGGTGATGCTGCTGTGCTGCTCCGTAGACCACCTTTAGTAGCAAAGGATCTAGAAGACATTCAGCCGTGGAAGTCACACCACATAAGCATTCTTAAAATCTCCTGCTTTACTCTTATTTTATTAAAGATTCCACAGAGATTGACACTTTGAAATCAAATTATGACATCCAAATTTGTTTTCTGTTCACCCACTCAGTTTTGTGGAAGGAATTTTCTACAACCATTTTGAAATAAGGAAATGCACTTCAGGATAAACTTCTGTAAACTAGGTTCAAATATTGAGTAACTTATTAGAAAACTGATTTATATAAGTATTCCTAATCATGAATTGTATTCAACTCTTAAGATTATTTTCTTTCATAATTATCAATGATGTGGTCAATCTTGAGTCTTTTTTTTCTTTTTCTTCCTTTTTACTGCTTCATTGGTCTAATGAAAAACAGCTTCTATACAGTACATACCTTCTCTGTTACTTATGTTTTCCTGTAAGTCAAACAAAACGGATAAAAGGAGAAAATGAGAGAATTGTCTTTTTTTCAACTAGACCCATTATGAATATTTTTATTCGTATGTGTGTAAGAAAGCATGTTATTCACACAATCAGATATTCAATCTCCTTATCAGTTTAAGAATTTGTTTCTCTGATTTTATTCTATGATTTTGTTTGTGATTATAAGACAAAGAAAACAGTACAAACTCGAAGATGGGATTACTTAATCTGCACAATGATCTCTTAAAATAGGAGAGAGGAAGATTGGTCTCTATATTATACACAGGAGAAAATAAACACAGTGAAGCATAAGCAACCAGTATTACCAGCTTCCTGATTTACTAAATTGTGTTTTTTAATTTTTAAAAGTCTGTGGAACCCAATCACATCACTAGCAGCAGATATAGCTAGTAAAATAATTTACCTATAGTGAATGCAGAGCTAAGGCTTGTGATTACTTTTAAACATTTAGAAGGATTTTTAACCTCAGAAAATTTGAAAGTCACTATATTATGCAACTCTGTCCTTTAGAGCTTCTATGCTTCATAAATATAGCCATGTTTACTAAGGTTATTTTTTTAATGATGGCTTTTATATGCTTAAAAATTAAAAAGAAACGTCTTGCTGGCCTGAAATTTCAAGCTTAGCTTGTAATTCTTAGTTCATTTTTTTTTGCTATAGGAATTATAATCAGTAAAAGACCAAACCCATTGGAATAGCAGGATCCTTTCAGAAGTCCAGTTTTAAATATATTTTAAAACATTTTCACAGTATTTCCTTAGGATTCTTCTGTCATCTGTTAAACATTGAGTTTATCCTTATGTTATTTAGAAGGAAGGCAAGAAATACCGACAGAAGAGACCAGGAGAGTAAAACACAGTATTCTTTTTACTAGCAATAGATATTTCTATAATACTAGTGATTAGGAAGCTGTTAAGGTATAGGTAGTAAAAGGGAAATCCACAATCTTTTTTACTCCCTTTCCCCCGTCCTCCCATATAATTAATCTTCAAAGACTTATGTTTCCTGAATATCTCATCGACAATTCCTTGCTTTTAGTCCTCAGGGTTCAGAATGTCATGGTCTTTTGCCTGGGTACTGTTAGCCTTTCTTAGAATGCTTTTTCTTTCTCCTGAGTAAATCCTCATCTTTGTAGAGACTACCAGGTTCAGTTTAGATGTGTCTTCCTTTCCTTTTGGCAGCCTTCCATGACCAAGACTGGGTTGGATTACCCTTCTCTGTGTTTACAAAGCCCTTATGCATATATCCATCAATACTATTACTGATTTTTATCTACTATTATTACATTTGCATATTTTTCTGTGAATTTCATTAGACTTTTTACTTCTTAAAGGGTAAAAATTTTGTGTTACCCAGTGCTTGATATATAGGAACTCAATGAAAGATTGATGGTAAATAAATAAGGTAGCAGATAACATCTCTTGTCAGAAGCTATAAATAAGTGTAGACAAAACCTTATGTTATATTTTACAGGATTGGAAACTCGAATACTAAATTTCTTTTTTAAGTTTATTTTAACTTCAATAGAAAGGAGAAAGTATACAGTATTGCCATCTGAAAAGCTGTTTTGACATCTTCCATAGTTTTAAAAATAATTTTGTCCTTTGCTTTTTGAACAGTAGCTAAGTTTTCAGTGTGAAACCTGAGTTTAAGTTCAGATACATCTGAAGGGATCAACAAGTATATTTAATTAATCCTTATTTATCTTTTACAGTAGCCAGGGTTTATGACTCCTCATAGGAAAGTTTTTGCCATAATTCTTTTGCTTAGCATATTATGAGCATGTTTTATAATGAGAATTATTAGAAGATGCAAAAAAAATTAAGAAAGGTAGAAAAACTTAGGCAAAAGAACATTGTGTTGAGTGCTGTTTGCTAAACACTGTGCCATGTATTCTACGTAGTCCCAAAATAAATACGTTTTTTTACACAGAATTTATTGTAGCTATTTAAGATAATTTAGCAATCGAATGAAGCAAACTTATTTATTCAAAAATTATTTATTGAATACCTGTTATGTATCAGGTGGCATTCTGAGTACTAAGGGAACAGAAAACAAAGCAAAATCTCTGCCCTCAAGAAGTTGCATTTTTAGGGACTTCCCCGGTAGTGCAGTGGTTAAGACTCTGCACTCCCAATGTAGGGGGCCTGGGTTCGATCCCTGGTCAGGGAACTAGATCCCACCTGCCTGCCGCAACTAAGAGTTCACATGCCACAACTAAGGAGCCTGCCTGCCACAACCAAGGAGCCCATGTGCCACAACTAAGGAACCCGTGAGCCGCAACTAAGACCCAGCACAACCAAATAAATAAATAAATATTTTTTAAGTTGCATTTTAATGAAGAGAGATACACAATACCAAAATAAGTAAAATGTATAGACCATTGCATGGTATTGAGTGCTCTAGAGAAAAGTAAATTAAGGGAAGAGTCGAGGAGCATTGGGGTAGGATTGTGATTTTAGTTATGGAATTCTATCTAAAGAGGGTGATATTTGAGCAGATTCCTGAAGCAAGTGAGGAAGCAAGCCATGCAGATACTCGGGGAGAGTATTCATGCAGAGCACAAGTACAGACAGCAAGTGCAAAGACTGAGGTGGGAGTTATTTGTGATATGGACAGCAAGTAGGCCTAAGAGGGTGGAACACAGTGAATGAGCAGACACTAGGATGAGTAAGGTCAGAAGTACTGGAAAGCCAAATAGTATATGAGCCTTGTAGTTGATTATGAGGACTTTGGTTTTTAATCTAAGTGAGATGAGAAACCATTGGAGGGACTTGAGGAGAGGAATGACAGAATATGATTTACAGTTTAACACAATTACTCTGGCCGCTGAAAAAAAACTGTAGGTGGTTGAAGGCAAGGGAGAAATAAGGGAGACTATTTATAACCTTACTGCAATGAGGTGGCTTTTCCAGGGTAGTAACAGTAGAGTTGATAATGGGAGAATTGGTAGGATTGTCCATATCTTTTAATGATAGAGCCAACAGGATTTGCTGACAAGTGGAACATAAGGCATGAGGAAAAGAAAGGAACCAAGGACTAAGCAGTAGGAAAAATAGTGTTGCCAATAATTGAGGTGGGGAAGATCATAGGACAAGTAGACTTGAAGAGAAGGATCAAGAGTTCCCTTCTAGGCATATTAAATTTGAGGTACCTGTTAGAGAATCAGGTAGAGATATTGAGCAAGCCATTGGAAGTGCAAGTTCATAGAGGGGTCCAGGCTTGAGATATAAATTTAAGAGTCGGATAAACGATGAGACTGGATGAGATCACTTAAAGTATGTGGGTGCAGGAGAAAAGAGAGCAGTTGCAAGACTGGGCCCTGGGACATTCCTGGTGTGGGAGATGTGAAAGAACCAACAATGGAAACTGAGATGGTACATTGGGACACAAACCTATTCTCAGCGGCCTTAAAATATAGCAGCTGGTGAAATAAGGGGAAAACCATGAGATCATAGTTTGTTCAAAGCCAAGAGAAGAAAATGCTTCCCTGAGGGCCAAGTGACCACCTGTGTGAAAAGCTACTAAGCCTGAATGGTTTCAGGGAAGAGTGGGAGGAGAGGAACGGGGGACATTATAGATGAGTCTTTTGAAGAGTTTTGCCAGAAAAGAGAGCAGGAAAAGTGGGAGTTTTGCCAGAAAAGAGAGCAGTTGATGGCGGGAGAAAAGGAGCCAAGAGTTCTGTTTTTAGCTGGGAAAAGTTAAACATGTTTATGTGTTAATGGGACTGATGCAGTAAAATGGAAAACTTGATGGATACAGGAGAGGGGAGAGAATTGCTGGGCAGTGTCTTTGTGTCGGCAAGAGGGTGTTGGGCACTATTGCACGAGTGCAAGGATTGGCTTTAGCTAGAAGCGTGGCCAGTTAATCCATTGTGATAGGAGGGAACGCTAATACTGGTAGGTGGTGGAAGTTTGTGGAAGTTCCCTGATTGTTCCTGTTTTTTCAGTGAACCGTAATCAGGACCATCAGCTGAGATGGAGAATGGGGGAGGAGATGCTGGAGATTTGAAAAGAGAAAGGAGGTTTGAAATAGTCATTTAGGAGAGTAGGGACATGAAGGACCAGAGGCCCGTCAACCTTAGGGCCCTACCTAAAGTAAGCAGGCTGTGTTTGAAGTTTGGTCAGTCCCTTTATCAGTCCAATTATAGTGAGTCAAAAGTTAGATTAAACCAGTGTTGTTTGTTGGTTGTTGTTTGGGGAAAAGGTTGAGGAGAGGGAAGGGAGTATGTGTAGTTTGACATGTGAGAGAAAGAGGGGTTGAGGGTATATACCAGGAAATGATTATGAGGATTAACCCTGGGATTTGAGCCGGATAAGGAGAAACGGAGGGCTAGGGTAAGGGTATTGGTAACATGAGGTCGAAGGACAGGGAAAATTTTAAGAGCAAAGGTTTATAGGACCTTTAGGGTTTGTAGGTTTTATTGGTATCTGGGCACTAGAAGGGAGTAAGCTGGAAAGAAAGATCATCTAGTTGGATATAAAATCATCAAGAATTAAGACAGGAGTAATGTTGGCGTTGGTGATGGTGAGCCAGGAGCTAAACTCTTCAAGACTGAGGGAGAGTGACTGAGTATTCACTGAGGACTGCAGTGTGGAGGAGATGGGGGGTGTGGTGTGATGACCCGAGATTCACAGCATGGGAGCAAGGAGAGCCATCCCACTCGTAGGCCTAGTTATGAGCTGTACTTATGTTTCCTGAGCAGAGAGTATTTTGTATTTTCTGTAATTCATTAGCCGCCTAATCTCAATTCTGCATCCTTCTTTGAAAGAGTAAGTAAAATAAATAAAAGAGCAGAATTTGTGAAAATTTTTTATTTTACAGATACTTGGTTGGTGCTTCTGTGAAGTTTAAATAATTCAAAAAACTAACTTTAAGATAGTTAAAGTTAGTTTTTTGTATTCAACAGTATAGCTGAGTTGTACCTCAAAACTAATAACATGTTTTGGAAGGAAAACTGCGTTGTATGTCCACTTTTTTATAACTTTTATATATATATATATATATGATTGCTTATTTTGTGTTAGCATACATATGATACAGAGACCACTTTTTGTGTATTTATTGGGAACTTAATAAATTACTTGCCTAATAAAGTTTTTTTTGTGTTTTTTTGTGTTTGTTTTTTTTTTGCGGTACACGGGCCTCTCACTGTTGTGGCCTCTCCCGTTGCGGAGCACAGGCTCCGGACGCAGGCTCAGCGGCCACGGCTCACGGGCCCAGCCGCTCCGCGGCATATGAGATCTTCCCGGACCGGGGCACGAGCCTGTGTCTCCTGCAATCGGCCGGCGGACTCTCAACAACTGCACTACCAGGCAAGCCCGCTAATAAAGATTTTGATGTTTAGTTGTCTCTCTGCTTTCTTCTAGATTACATACCGGTTACGGCACCTCCTTCGAGCAAGGTGTGATGCTTCCCCAGTGACCAACAATACCATCCAATTTCACTGTGATCCTAGTTTCTGGGCTCAAAATATTATCAATTTAGGTAGGCTGTTATGTACATTTTCTCAAAGTGCCATTTGTTTCTGGAACTCTTAATGATTATGAGATTATTGAAAATGTATTCCCTTCCACCCCCAAAGTGTGTTTATCATCTTGTTTTAAGTACATGGAATTTTCACTAGTATTTCATTAGCGTGTGTATATGCGTGACACATGCATGAATATAAACACACATGTAAATATGTGGATGATATGAAACATCCTTTATATTGACTCAGGGTGTCTAGATTTCTGGATTTAGGAGGTTTTTTTTTTCTTTCCCATAGAATCTTGCTTGTACTGTTAATTACATACTTATCAGAATGGTTGATAAAACTCTTGACTGCCATTAATATAGGATTTTTTATATTTAGAATGTTTTCTGTTAAAACAGGACTTCTCATACAATTATTGGCTTACTTACTCTTGAGAGCCAGTCATCAGGCTGCTTTATCTAGCTAGGGAAGACTTCTCTTTTCTTCTTTTGCCTTTTATGTAATTATTATATAATTTTTAACCTCCTAACTGAAGTGTACTATACGTACAGATAAGTGCCCAAATTTTAAGTACTAGAGCGCACTGAGTTATCACAAAGGGAGACTATCATTATGGTATCATTTGGTAACATCAAATATCCTTGCAGGCAGTACTTGCTACATTATGTGCTAGTAGAAAAAGTCTTCAGTTTTTGCCTCCTTTCTTAATTTCTCACAGGGAGACTATAGAAACAAAAATTTAAGAATTCCATATACATTCTTCATCAACCACCAGTATTCCCTTTGATGACAGTTTTTGGGCTCATTGACTTTGTTTCAAAATCTTGAAAGATGGTTGCTCTCTCATTCCCTAAGCTAGATTCTGGATAAGAAAGGAAGAAACGGCTGGAGAGAGAGCCAGTGCTCTCAGAACACACCAGGAAAGGAAGAAATAGGCTTACACAAACCTCATTCATACATGGGAAGAACAGAAGGAATGGTAATAAGGTGACCCTTTGAAGGAAAGGTCATAAGTTGACTCCTGCAGCTCAGTCTAGAAGCACATATTTATTGATTGATTGATACGTAGCAAGCAACTGGAATCATACACACTCTCACCTATGTAACTAAAAAGAAGCATCTTAATACAAAGCGTGTATATAAGTTAACTATCTCCTACCCTCCACCATACATGCAGCTATATAGAGAACCTGTCACAGTTATATATCCACACAAATAGTCATATGTAGAATTGTATGTACTTGTAAGCATATCATTTAAAATATAGACCACATGATGTAAACATAAATAAAATTAAGAATATGTGTAACTGTATACACATAAATGGATATAGTTTTAGCTAAGTCTACAGCGAAAACAAAAACATCTATTTGTGAGGAGTTTGTAAAACAATATCCTTTACTGTAGGACTTCTCAGAGCTGTCCTATACAGCTCTGTAAATTGCCATTTACAATGAGATTTACATTTTAAATCTTCTAAGGAGACAAGTGTCCCAAACTTGGTTATTTACGGCTTCTGAGAAATATGTTATAGAAGACTACAAGGGAAAAATGTTGATTTGGATGAATATTCAGTTAGTGTCTTTGTGACTTTGGGTAAGTTGTTCAATCTCTCTGAACCTTAAATCCCTTATCTGTACAGAGGACTTTAACAATATACATAGACCTACTGTCGCAGTATCTAATACAGAGTAAGTATTTAATGAATGATAACTGTATTTTTTAGGATGCATATGTTTATTACATCAGAAACATTTAACTGAGTCTCTGCTGTTGAAGAAATCAAGCTTTGCCTTATGCTTGGACCACACCTGTTAGAGGTACCTTTAAACTCTAACAGTATAGTTATAAGGCAGAGTATTCTCCATCAGAGAACTAACAGTGTACTCTGAAGGTGTAAAGAACTTGAGAGATAACTAAATCAGAAATACTGTGGTATTGTTTTTAGATCCAATGTCAGGTTTGCTTGTTGTGTTTTGATATGCAACAGCAGTCCTCAAAGTAGGGTCTGAGGCTCCTTCAGGTGATGACAGGCCTCCTGTTTCCAAGTACATATCCATGTATGGCTGGATTTTCTTCATATATTTAAACAATATATTAGATAATGCAGAAACAGGTATGAGAGTTCAGCTATTAAGCCAGACATTTAAAGAGATGTTTGAAAATGTAAAATAGTGCCACTCTTCACTACATTTTTTTGAAAATAAGTATTTTTTCATAAAAATGTGTTATTATGGGTTGTCACTTTTAAATGAATTAGTGAGGAAAAATGTTTTTAATTCTCATTTTTAGTTTCGAATATGGTAAATTTTGATTGATAGAACCTACATAAACAGAAGCTCTTTGGGGTTTCTATTTTTAAGAGTATAAAGGGTTCCTGAGAGAAAAAGAAGCTCCTTGGCAATTCTGAAGATCAGTAAAAATAGCCCTACAAAATACGGTATTTCACTACCAGAAAATCTTTAGAACTTAACCTTTTCTCTTTAATTAGGTTCTTTAGTAATCGAAGATAAAGAGAGTCAACCACAAATGCCTAAGCAGAATCCTGTCATGGAACAGAATTCACAGCCACCAGGTGGTTTATCTTCAAACCAGTTATCCAAGTTTCCAACACAGATCAGCCTAGCTCAATTACGACTCCAGCATATGCAGCAACAGGTAATGGCTCAGAGGCAACAGGTGCAACGGAGGCCAGCACCTGTGGGTTTACCAAACCCTAGAATGCAGGGGCCCATCCAGCAACCTTCCATCTCTCATCAGGTAAATTTGGAAGCAGGCCTGTCCTAACTTAGATAATTATAGTACAGTTGTATTCAGCAGCTCCTAAAATAACCAAGGCATCTTTCATCCATGACTTAAATATATGAATTTATAAAAATTTATCACATTAAGGATCCCTGATTTAACTCTAGATTTTAGCCCTTCTCAAAAAGAAATTAATGGTTTATTTAATTGGGACATCTATTCTCATCTGCTCTCTTTCATCTTCAGATTATAAGAGGATAAATGATTCCATTCTTAAATAACCAGTGCATATGATTGATGGGAAAAGTTGTGTACCTGTAATTCATAATTCTTATATTAGTGCTTCAGGATGACTAATACTTTAGGTTATCTCTTCTCTGTAAGGATGCAGTGTTTAGAAAATCACATTGCATCTTAGAAACTAGGACAAAATGAAATAGAAAAGGGCAAGGATTTGATTCGTTAGAAGTCTACCTTTTTCAAACTTTATTTCTGAGCAAATGTTCCAAGAACCATTCTTATTTTAATCCATACAAATTGTCTGTTATTTTCAGTTACTTTTATTTATTAATTTATACTCCCTATTTCTCAGAAGAATTTGAACTGATTTACAGTAAATGACAAATGAAATGGCAGAGGGATTAATAAGTGTTAAGAATACTCAAAGCATGCAGAGCTAGGCTAAGGGTGCTCATCATGCTTGAGAGCAAAACTTAGCTCAACTTTTTGTCAGCCAAACAAAAAAGAAACAAGAATAATATCTATATTATTTGATTAAAAGGAACATGCCATTAGGAGAAATTTTTTACTAGTATTTTTCTAGCACTAAGAGGAATATATAATGTGGTTCTTTATGAAAAAGCAATTAAATGGCATAATAGCATTTTTTGGTAGCAGTTTTACAAAACATGATTTTCATAGGACTTATTTCAACCCTGAATAAAAGTTGTGGGCATATGTAGATACTGATTTTGTTAAATTGCTTCTGTGAAGGCCTGAGGTGTGATGTATTTTAAGTTTGTGGCTGTCTAGTAATTTGATTAAGAAGGCATGTCAAATCCAGGAGAATATTAGCATGACCAGTTGATTATTCCTCTTGAACTTTGTTTTAACCCAGGTTTTAAAAGGAAGTAAATAACAAGCAATTTAAGTGGTCTTTGTTTGGTGAGTGTTCAATGGGAAAAGACATGTACGCTTTCGATATCAGGAGTGCAACTGGCAGAGTTGAGATTTTGTTAAGAAAATTGAGGAATAATTTTGTCACTACCTCTGCAGGCTGCAGGGTGACATATTGCAGGTAGACTGCAGAGCACCCAAATTGTTCTGAAGATAAATGTGAAGAGGAAAAGAGAGAGAAAATAATTACTTGTTAAGTGACTAGTGCTAAGCATTTGCATGATTATTTATCTTGTGTCCGAGAGATGTTAAAGTGATTTTTTATTTAATACTTAACCTGAAATAAGATAAATCCGTCATTTGTATTAATTCCCTTTTCACTAAGGAGTGAAGAACTGAGGCATTTTAATAGATAACTCCGTGACTTGGTCACATTCTCAAACAGTTTTTTATATAAGCAGTGACAAACCAGAAGTGACCTTGATCAAGCCTTTAGCCTGCTTATCTCAGAAATTTTCTTTTGATCTTATTATTTCTCTCTAGGATTTACTGCTATATGATATATATAATGTACAATCTTTATTATGCAGCCTAATTTTCCCACTTACCAATACATTTGACCCTTGAACAATGCAGGGGTTAGAAGCGCTAACCCTCCACATAGTTGAAAATCCATGTATAACTTATAGTTGGCCCTCTCTCTCTGTGGTTCCTCCGTATCCACTGTTCTGCATCTGAGGATTCAGCCAACCACGGATTGTGTGGTACTGAAGTATTCACTATTGAAAAAAATCCATGTCTAGGTGAACCTGCACAGTTCAAACCCATGTTGTGTTGTTCAAAGATCAACTGTAAAGTCATTTTCTCATCTTTTGGTCATTACCTCACACACCTCTCTTTTTGTCCTCTCTCAATGACTCCCGAACTTCCTTCCAGTACTCTCATCTCTCATTTTATCTCTTCTGTACCAAATACCCACTCCTACATTTTTCACTCATCAGTTTTCCCTCATCTGTAAACTTTCACACTGCTCTACCCACCTGCTTTCTTAGTTTTCTAACAGTTTATTTGCATATATATGTGGGAAAATGTCTGTAAGCAGGGTGTGTGTGTGCCTCTTTGTGGGTGTGTTCAAATCATACTCTACATCTGTCCAATAGGACCCATGTCAATTTAAAGGCCTCCTTCTAAAAATCACTTATACAGTAGTTCCCTATTTCTTCCTCTGAAGATTAGCCGTGTAATCTGAATGATTAAAGAGTTGTGTGATACAGAGCTAGAATACATAGTTATATGACTGAGTGGTACAAACTTGATAAACATTATGCATCTCTGTTTATTGAGCGGTGTACAGTATACTCTATCATACTCTAATGGACAGGGCTAAGTTTGTTAGATCTAAGTATGTTATTTTATACATAATGGTTGTCACTCCCGGGCTAGATTTACTGCTCTGGAGATAACTCTCATTCATATGTATACATTAATTTCCTAAACAGTGGGTGGATGTTAGAAGGACATCTGCTATGCTTCATGGTTATACTGACATAGAATAAAATGAAAACCTGTAATAATAAAAGTATTTAGAGTGAAGGTGAGGATAGTGATGATTATATGTCAGTTTGCTTAAGCTCTCAATTATATTTCTCTATTCTCTCCCTTTTTTCCTTCTTGCAAATTAATTGATTCCATTTAATTAAAATAGCACTGGTTTTGCTATTTCTTTTATGCTCATAACTAGCTGCTAGTCTTATTCTTTCAAGTTGCTTTTCCTGTCACAGGGTTCTTAGAAATTAACTCAATCAACTGTAACAGTTTGGGAGAGGAAAGAAAAATCACCTTACATCTTACCACACTGGGATTCCTTGATGGGAGAGTTGACACCCAGTCCCACACTGGTTTTTCACACAGTACAGTACTCTGGCATCAAGTGTCATTTCTTGACTGAATCAATATATAAATCTCAGGGCAGGGGGAGGCAGAAGACTTCTGTAACTACTTTTGTTCTCCCTTAAGGATCATTTTGGGTGCTTTTCCACTTTTTAAAAAATTGTCTCTTTGATTAACTTAGAAGTTTTCCACTATGATTCCCCAGTTCTTCTCTGTTTGTGTTTCTATGATATAAAACCCTTCAAGTCACAAAACTTTAATAGAAGAATCGAAGAGAATTGCTATGGCTTCAGGCTTACGCTTTTATAAGATTTTTTCATTTTCTCGTTTTCTCTAATATTTTTCTGTTCTTCACCCAGAAGAATAGAATTTCAAGAATTTCCCTTGATCTTGAAATAGTGTCTAAATCTACTTTTCATTGGGTCTGTAATTGCTGGTCACTCTTGAAAGTTATTGACGGTGAACCCAGTGCCAACTAATTTGCAAGAGAGGGGAAAGAGAAATAATTTACCCAGGAAAGGAGATGAATTCCAAAAATGGGAGAAGGAAAAGAACAAAAAGAGGGCAGAGCTACACTTTATGGCTGTCTGCCTTCACAGTGTCAAAGTTTAAGATGTTGCTATTTCAGCCTTTATAAATTTCACATTTATTTTTCCCACCTTGAATGTGGGAGTTAATAGTTCCCTTTCTGAGAAGTTCTTATTCATATGCAGTTAAGATAGCCTGAAAATAAGTATTTACTTTGCAATAAGTTGCCAACCTTAGAGAGAATTGGGTAGTCAAGGTGAGACTGGCATATACGGTTACCTTTTTCTAGAACACTGGTCTCAATTTCTAGGGCTAGCATTTATTGAGCAAACTAGGCTTGCCTTCCCAGCCCCTACCCTGCCCTATAATCAACCAGTGTTGTCCTTGAAGGGTGTCCTTTCAAAATCTGTTTTCTTTTAGAGAGACTCATCCTCTAAGCCGTAATTAGTACCTTAACCCCCAGCTAAACACCAAAACCTGTTTGGGTAATGAAATGGCAGACTAGTTTTGGATTAAAGCCTTAGTGCTGCCTTTAACGAGCTGTGTGACTTTTTTCAATTTATCCCAGCTTTTTAATGTTTAGTGTCCTAATTTGTAAAATGAGGGGAGGGTAATAATGAGATAACACATGTAAAATGCCAGTCACAATGCCTGGCACATAGTTTGATCGCAATAAGATCCGATTCATTAATTTTTAAATGTTATTAATATTCATCTGTTCATTATTTATGTTTTACTGCTTGGAGCCAGAGGACTTGAGTTCAAATCTCAGCTCCATTCCTCCTATCTTTGTTACTCTTGGACAAGTTATTTAAATTCTCTATATCTCAGTTCCCTTTTGTGTAAAACAGAGGTAATCCCTACCTTAGTGGATCATTGTGAAGATTAAATGGGTTAACACATGTAAAGCACTTAAAGTAGTACCTGACATGTAATAACTACTCAGTAAATGTTAGTAATTATTCTACCATCACATTGTTTTAGGAAGATTGAAGAGGGCAGTTCTTTACAGAATATAATCATCAGGGACTTAGAAGAATACCAACGACAAATTTTCCCTACTTCCCAGTGTGGCCTAGATCTAATCCTAGTTTAACCTACTTGCAGCTGGAAAATCCTCTCCCAAGGGTCTTTCCTAATAAAACTTCTTTTCTTTAAATTGCTTATACACATTCTGGAAGGCTGTCCCCTTCCCCCGTACCCTGACTGTAATTTTAATAAATGATTCATCTGTGAGAGAATTGCTGTCGTTCTGTAAAAGTTATAAAATGGAGTTCTTCATACTTTGTCTTTCAGGAGATGATTGTCACTGAGTTGGTTGAATTTCTTTTTTTCTAGCAACCTCCTCCACGTTTGATAAATTTTCAGAATCACAGCCCCAAACCCAATGGACCAGTTCTTCCTCCTCATCCTCAACAGCTAAGATATCCACCAAACCAGAGTACGCCACGACAAGCAATAAAGCCCAACCCCCTGCAGATGGCTTTCCTGGCTCAACAAGCCATAAAACAGGTATATATATTTACTTCTCCACAGTTGCTTGTTCTGCTTCTCTCTACTTCCAAATCACATTGAATTTATGGATAGAGCAATGGCGATAAAGAGCAAGAGTAAGCTTTTTCCTTTTTTAAATAAATGTGGATTACAAAGTTTATTACAGACTGCCCTATAGAGAGAGACAAAGCTAAGAGAGGATCTTGATGCTTTGTAATTAACAAGAGAAATCAAGCCACTATACAGAAGTGAAGGAGGGTGAGTCATAGGTATGAATTTTTCAGTGTTAATGTGTGTAGCGTTTAGGTGAGTGCATTAAATTTCCTAAGACAGAATTATTCTAACAAATACAGATTGCATACTTAAAGAGAGACCAATAAACAAATCTTCAAAGTGTTTCAGGGAGACTTCTTGGGCACAAACTTAGTATCACACAGTTTTAATATGTAGTACGTATACATCTGATAAAGTTTAATATTTAAGGTTATATATTAACTCTTAGAAGGTTTAATGTTTATCTAAGTTATAATTTATATTTGTATTATATAAATTTATAATATATATTATATATATATTCTTAGTGTTTTCAGGTAAAAATATTTTTTAGGTATTACACTTTTTTTATTTTTTTTATAAATTTTATTTATTTATTTTTGGTTGCATTGGGTCCTCGTTGCTGCACGCGGGCTTTCTCCAGCTGTGGCGAGCGGGGGCTACTCTTCGCTGAGGTGCATGGGCTTCTCATTGCAGTGGCTTCTCCTGTTGCGGAGCACGGGCTCTAGGCGCGTGGGCTTCGGTAGTTGTGGCTCGCGGGCTCTAGAGTGCAGGCTCAGTAGTTGTGGCGCACGGGCTTAGTTGCTCCACAGCATGTGGGATCTTCCCAGACCAGGACTCAAACCTGCGTCCCCTGCATTGGCAGGCGGATTCCCAACCACTGCGCCACCAGGGAAGCCCTATTACACTGTTTCAAAAAGTTCTCCCAGTGCTTTGTCTTCTCCAAGTACTTGTGTCAAGCCTTTCCAGCTTAGGACTAGTAGATTGATTTCAGTTTAATTTTTTTGCCAAGACCAAAATAAAGAATATGATGCTATTCCCATAATTCTGTGACATTCATTTTAATCAAATGATTTGAAAGTAGTATTCTAAAAGTACGTATACTAAGTGTGTGTATATGTTTATAATTAGTTTGGTTTCGATAAAATATTAATACTTTCTAAAATAATATTTTAATTATTTTCAATAAAATTTATACCTATCTCTGTTTCATCATTAGAGGTGAGGTGAAAAGGGACCAGACTGCAGTTTGGTCTTAAATTCGTTTATTTTCCTAATACTTTTGTGGCCTTGTACAAGTGTACTCTTTAAAATCTCCTTTGCCCCCACTATAGAGTGAGTGAGTACCTTGCAGAGTTTTGCTGAGACTTAGTGTTAGTGTATATAAAAGCACCTGGAACATTCTGGGTACTCAAATATTTCCTCACCTATTCCCTATGTATTATTTTTAATGGGTAGACATGCACTCTAAGAAGGTTTTTAAAAATGTTTCCTGGTCAGAAGTCTAAACATGAATGAATAAATGAACAAGCTAGGATAAAAGATAATGGGGAATTTGTTTTAATTGATAGAGTAGCTTAACAAATTATAATATACTTGTACAGTGGAAATGCTTTTTGGCTATTAAGAAAAGGCAGTAATCTATATATGATCTGCGAAGTATATTACACGGCAAAAAACTTTGTCGGATTTTTTTGTGAGTTATTTTCAATTTTGTGGTTTTGTTTTTGTTTTTTAAATCTCACTTATATATATATAGAAAAAACCTGGAAAGATACACATCAACTGTAACTGCTTATTCTGGGGAGGGAAGGAGGAAGAGAGAGAGACACAGACAGGTGGATGGATACGAGGGGTGGGTATGTGGTAAAGATGACATTCATATTCACAGGGTTTTTTACTTAGTTTTTTCAGTGGAGCATGTAAATTAGATTTTTCAAAGTTAGAATATTTCCATCACTGTCACTCTATATTGTGTAGTCCATATATAAATGAAACTGAGTTTGGGAGTTTTTTCCCCTGCATAGTCTTAAGATACCTCTTAGTGGCTTTTTTCCCCCCAATATTTTATTATAAAAATTTTCAAACATAGTAAGTTGAAAGAGTTGTATAGGGGATAGGTTGCTCTATTTGCCTTCTCACTTATTATCCATATACCCATTTATCCATCCATCTGTCAATCAAACCTTCTCGTTTTTTGATAGGTTTCAAAGTAAAGTATAGATAGCAGCATGGTTCATCTCTGTATACCCTGTAGCGTTCCTTTATTAATGTGTTTATTTCAGCCTCTAACATTAAATGACAAAGAGTTTCCTCAGATGTTTATTGATGCTTAAGTACCTGTTTGTATATGAGAAATGGGTGTTTAGGAAAAAAAAAACCTGAAAGCCAGGGTGGGGGGCTAACGTTTGATGGCTGAATTTCACTCTTACGTGAGGTTTGCTAGGCATGTTTATTAGGAGAGTTACTAAGGTCACTGTCCATAGGTAGTGGTCCAATTCCCAAAAGATCTTTCTGTTTCATGCCTGAAATGCAGGGCCTGGCTGCTCATTGAAGCCAGCTGGGGGAAGAAGATTATTAGCGGGCCGGAGGCAGAGTGGGCAGGAAGCTCGGCATTCAGTGTCTGTATGGTTTCTTACTCGTCATTTTCAGTGCAATGCTTCTTTTTTTTCTTAATTAATTAATTTATTTATTTTTGGTCTTTGTTGCTGCACGCGGGCTTTCTCTCGCCGTGGCGAGCGGGGGCTACTCTTCCTTACGGTGCACCAGCTTCTCATTTCGGTGGCTTCTCTTGTTGCGGAGCACAGGCTCTAGGCTCGTGGGCTTCAGTAGTTGTGGCACGTGGGCTCAGTAGTTGTGGCTCATGGGCTCTAGAGCGCAGGTTCAGTAGTTGTGGCGCATGGGCTTAGTTGCTCCGCGGCATGTGGGATCTTCCCAGACCAGGGCTCAAACCCGTGTCCCCTGCATTGGCAGGCAGATTCTTAACCACTGTGCCACTGGGGAAGCCCAAGTGCAATATTCTGCCTTCAGCTGAGCCTGATGCTCGTCAGCCCAAAGACTATTTTACCTATTCTAGAAAATTAATTTCCAGTCTTCTTTTGCAGAGGTGGAGGTGGTCCTTATTATCTTGGGGTAGCTACAGATAAAGTAGGAAACGAACGTGAGATTTAATCCTTCTTAAACAGACTCTCAACAGATCATCCTGTTTTTAGTCCCAGTTTCACCTCTTATGCTTCTAATTCTCAGGCTCTTAGGGGTTCTACAGTATATACTGATTTGCTTCTCTGTTTTTCCCACTGCCAGCTTAGATTTCAGCTTTATCCAATTGGCTACGACTAATTCATTTGCTTTTTGTCCATTTGCCTTCCAGCTTCCAAAATGTGATTTCTGTCTTCTCCCCTGTTCTCTTTGTCTTTATGGGTCAGTGCCTTTTTCAAAAAAAAATTCCCTTAACTGTCATTTTACTTTCAGGTGTATCAGGTAGGGACAGAAGAAAACGTATGTTTTCAGCCCTCCATCTTTACCTTGAAGTTGCTTTGTACATGTTTATATTTCTTTTCCAGTATGTGTAAGCTTTCCAAGATTGGGTGCTGTGGTTTTCTTGTGAATACTAACTGTTGTCTTCTGGTACAAATCAGTTCTTTTTATTTTTTACGTTTGGACAGGATTAATGAAAATTATATATACTTGTGTCCTGTCCCCTTTCCATTAAAATTACAGTTGAATTCAAATAGCAGACTGTGTCTTTTACTTTGTTTTGTGTCTGGAACAGGGATTAGATGGACATTTTACGTTACAGGCCTGCTGATAGACCACCTTTCTTCTTTCCTTCTTGCTACCACAGTGGCAGGTCAGCAGTGGTCAGGCCACCCCATCAGCTGCCAACAGCACGTCCTCTACTCCTTCCAGTCCCACCATTACTAGTGCAGCAGGATATGATGGAAAGGCTTTTGGGTCACCTATGATTGATTTGAGCTCACCCGTGGGAGGTCCCTATAATCTTCCTTCTCTTCCAGATGTAAGTATACATAAAATTTATTCTAAGACTCTGTTTCAAAAATTTTAAGTGAACTTGGATCTGGTAAAAGGCATGGGCTTGTTGGATTATAGGCTGTGCGTTTGTGTTTAGAAGTTGTTTTTATCCTTTAGAAATATGGTAACAGCAGGAATAATAAAAAGATTAATATTAACACTTGAACATACTACAGAATGTCTTTCAGGGCACTGGAGTTAAAGTGTTTGTAAATGAATGATTATGGTGATGGATTATGGAATCTAAGCTGGGAAGGAAGGGGTGAGGACATGGGAGGAGGTACTGGAAGGCTGAATTGCTGGAATGTGATATATTACAATAGAATAAGGTTAGAGAAGGAGTCTAACATTTAAGACGCCAGAAGAGATGGAGACAAGTTTAATAATAGAAATGTACCCTGAGAAAACCATAATTCAAAAAGAGTCATGTATACCACAATGTTCATTGCAGCACTATTTACAATAGCCAGGACATGGAAGCAACCTAAGTGTCCATCGACAGATGAATGGATAAAGAAGATGTGGTCCATATATACAATGGAATATTACTCAGCCATAAAAAGAAATGAAATTGAGTTATTTGTAGTGAGGTGGATGGACCTAGAGTCTGTCATACAGAGTGAAGTAAGTCAGGAAGAGAAAAACAAATACCGTATGCTAACACGTAAATGTGGAATCAAAAAAAGAAATTAGTTTTGAAGGGCAGAACCTAAGGGCAGGACAGGAATAAAGACACAGACGTAGAGAATGGACTTGAGGACACGGGGAGGGGGAAGGGTAAGCTGGGATGATGTGAGAGAGTTGCATGGACATAGATACACTACCAAATGTAAAATAGATAACTAGAGGGAAGCAGCTGCATAGCACAGGGAGATCAGCTTGGTGCTTTGTGACCACCTAGAGGGGTGGGATAGGAAGGGTGGGAGGAAGACGCAAGAGGGAGGAGATAAGGGGATATATGTATATGTATAGCTGATTCACTGTGTTATAAAGCAGAAACTAACACGCACTGTAAAGCAATTACACTCCAATAAAGATGTTAAAAAAAAAAAAAAGACTCAATGAACTAATGCAAGTAAAGCCCAGTGCCTGGCACAGGAAAAGCTCCCCTCAAATAAAAATCATAATAATAATAAGAGAAATGATAACATTTACTAACCAGTGCAAAATTACCTCTGATTTCATTTTTATTTAAATTAAACACATTTACCCTCTAAGCTCTTTGTCAGTATGACTTTTTAAAAAATATTTTTCAAAGACAGAAAATATAACATTGAATAAACAAATCTTTATACATAAGTTGATACTTGTTTTACCTTTTCTCATCTTATAAGCTTAAGGTAATCACTCATACAGACATTAAAAACTTTTAAGAAATCTTGTAGGATGTGAAGGAATCTAAAATTTTGTATTATTTAGTTTGTTTTTCAAGTTACTGAGATCAATTAGTATTTCCTAAAAGTTGCATCATTAACCTTACCAGAGTTATTTCATTTTTAAAATAATTGTTTATACTTTAAATGGGTAGAGTACGTGTATTTTTCATGCATAGGCAATCGATAGGGAAACTTTTTTTGTCATTCCTATAATTTTATTTTAGCTTTTAGGATTATTCCACAATGTAAATAACTTTTTTTACATTAAGATCTAACAAATTTAGTCATTCCAGTACTTTTTGCACTCTCTGAAAAGTATTGGCCAAGGTAGTGCCCAAAGAATATTAAACATAAATAACCCTGTGTACTTCCTCCTTCCCCTACTGAAAGAGGACCCACAGAAAGTAAATTTTCCTCTGCAGTCCTCAGATACAGATGACCCTTTGTCCACCAGCTTTCTCAACTGAAATTCCTCATCTGAACCACAGAATAAAGAAACTGATTTGAGTGACTATTTCCTCAGTCCTCCCAAGGATGGTTCATAACTAGTACCATTCTAGATGCAGAGGCGAGAAGTAAATTCATTATATACAGTCTATGCCCTCGGACTGTAGAACTTAATTCTCTTGGAGAATCTTGATTGAGAAAGGCTGGAACTATTAAATTGGATTTTAATCACAAAAACGTTCTTGAGGAATAAATGGTATATTTAAGCATTAAAAATACTTGCATCTAAAGGGGGGTGGGTGAGGGTTGGATTGGGAGTTTGGGATTAGCAGATGCAAACTGGTATATATAGAAATGGATAAGCAACAAAGTTCTGCATAGCACAGAGAACTATATTCAGTATCCTGTGATAAACCATAATGGAAAAGAATATGAAAGACAATATATATATGAATAACTGAATCACTTTTCTGTACCGCAGAAATTAACACAACATTGTAATTCAACTATTCATCAATGAAAAAATTAAAAAAATATTTGCATCTAAAGTATTAAAGTCTTATTCAGTAGAAATTTATCGATATTTTAGCTTAGCAGTCAATTAGGAAAGCAGTCAATTATTTGTATACCTGTTGCATTAAAGCAGGAATCTCTAAGGGATCAGTTTTTTCCTACCAAACATTAAGAATGTATTTAAGTGAGGTTAGTGTTCTGAAAATGTGTTATGCGTAGACTTGTCTCATCAATCTAGTGCATACCAGAGCATCGGTTCTCAAAGTGTGGGCCAAGGACATGGGGGTCCGTACAACCTTTTTAGAGGCTCTACAAGGTCCTCTCTGTGTAAGACCAGATTTTCTTCTTATTCTTCAGCCAAAACCACACATCTCAGCAGACTGAGTAAAAGATACAAGTTTCCAGTTGGCTGTTATTAAGCCAGACAATAAAGAAATTTGCAAAATGTGAAACTGTGCTACTCTTCTCACCAAGTTTGCTTTTTTTTTAAATTGGTACCTTTTATTATTTTTAAATAAATTAAGAAACATTATTAGAATTTCTTTTTATAATTTTGTTTTAATTTTTAAGGGTGTAGCACACAATACTCTTTTCTCCTGGCTCATGACTTCTGAAATAGTGTGACTCAGTATATTTACTAAGGTGAAATATTAAGAAGTGTGAAAGCTTTTTTTCAAGGTTGTTTATGGGGAAAGTATGGATCAGAACTTCTCAAATATGATATTTACATGTTTTATTATCTGATAATAATTAAACTATTAAAGTTTTCTTATAAATTTAAAGTAGCTTTTAACTTGCAAAGTCACAATGCCGTGAAATAATTTCTCATCAGATTGACTGCTCAAGTACTATTATGCTGGACAATATTGTGAGGAAAGATACTAGTACAGATCATGGCCAGCCAAGACCACCCTCAAACAGAACCGTCCAGTCACCGAATTCATCAGTGCCATCTCCAGGCCTTACAGGTAAAGTGGGCTTTTTAAAATTTTTATTAGTGTTTTTTTTTCAGTTTTTATTCTATTTATAATAATTTTTAAAAAAATCACCCTATGCCTCCTCCCTTTTTCTGTTGGATGATTAAAATGGGTCTGTGTTTTGGGTACTCTTTAAAATTAATGTACTTTCGAAGTGGGAAGCAAAAGTTAAACCTCTGTACATTTTCAATTTGAATAGAACTTATGGGCACTATAGTGCTCCCAGGAGGAAATTAGTATTGTACTTTCTCTTTTTGATAATTTGCCTGTAGTATCATCTCTTTTTGCATGGAATTTTCCTAGTATCAAAATTTATCAGTGACAATCACTCTTTTTGGTGGTTTTTTTCGCTATTTAATTGTGTTTAAGAATTTTGGACACAACTACTTATTTCCTTCAAGAGAGAGGCACTCTGACTAATGCTACTCGCGGAGACCTTGTCAAATTAGATGACTTAGACCAAAATAAGGAAAGAGGAGAATTTCTTATGCCATTCACCAGTCATACAAGCACAATTAAGCAGTTGTCGAATTTTAAAGGAGGTACTTATTTAAAACATAAACAAACTGAAAGGAAATTGTTGACAAAATGTGGTAGAGAAACTGTTTAATTATGTAACAAGTTCATACAGATTAATAAGGAAAGTACACAGTATTGCAAAAGGACATGAGTAGATTATTCCCTAAAGAGGAAATACATTTAGTTAGTAAAACAGGGGAGAGGAAGAAAGATGGGTGGTTCCATCTCACCAGTAGTCATTATAAACTCAAAAAGACATAATTTCTAACTATTGAATAAGCAAAGATTTAAATAGTGAAAATACTCATTGATGAGGATGTGATGGGACAAATGCTCTGATACATAGCTGGTGGGAGTATAACTTGACAAAACATTTCTGGAAACCATTTTGGCACTATTACTAAAACTAACGTTTATCCAGTACTAACTCAGTGTCAGGCAAGGGACAAAGTATCTTCTATACATTGCTTCAGTGTCTTCTGTTCATTAGCCTCTGTGGGGCTTTCTCTCTTGGACTGCTTTTATACCAGCCCTACCAACTTTTTATTGTCCTCTGTAGCTTTTGCTGGCACTAGCGTCCTCACTAAGCTCCTACCCTGGTTACTCTAACATGGGACATTCGACAGTGTTTGCAGGCATTTCTGATTGTCACACCCCTGGATGCTGAGTATGTAGAGGTGCCATGGCATCTAATAACTGTAGGGGCCGAGGGTGCTGCTCAGCATCCCTACGATGCACATACAGCCCCCACATCAAAGAATTATCTGTCCCCAAATGTCAGTACTGCTGAGGTTGAACAGCCCTGCCAGTTTAGGGGGACTTTAGACTGTGCTGGGAGTTCAGCAGCTACTCTTGTTTTATATAGTTTCATTATGTGTTTCCAGTTTCAATGTAGTACTAAGTGAGAACATTGAGTAGGAATTAAATACAGTTATTAATTCATTTTACGAATGTGTATGATCTCAGGACCTGTTACTATGACAAGTGTACACCCACCAATACGTTCACCTAGTGCCTCCAGCGTTGGGAGCCGAGGAAGGTAAACTGACTTAACTTATTCTCTAGCCTATAAAATCTGTAACTAGATTTCTCTCGCCAGTGTTCAGCATGCTTTGGTACTCAATACATTTTAAGCAATTTCCCTTATTTTTAATTTTTAAATGTTTAATAATTATTGTATATTATATGTTAATGTAATAAATCAATGGGTTTAGTAGAGTACAATTTTATCTTTAAAGATACAAAAATGTTTATCTGTTGAAAATAAGAAAATACATTTGACTTTAGTATAATAGCAAGGAAAAAACAAAAATGAAGTCTGTGTAACACACTGCACTATATAGGAACATGCACAAATAAAAACTTAGGGAAAACAAATAATAATTTTATGCTAAAATTGGTGTTCTGACATTTCTAATAACCAAACATTGATTCTGTTTTACAGTTGTTGAAACTGTATTTTATGTGTTACACACCCACTCATAATGCTTGCGAATTTCTCCTAGATAGTGAACCCAATTCTTACTTTCCTAATTGTATGGAAGTAGCATACTCTGAAGGGGAAAAGTTTGCCTTTAATCCTATGAGAACAGAGTAGCTATCTGTAAATGGCTTTTTTGTTGCACTACATTTTTTAAAATAGCAGAACACCAGTAAATTATGAACCTAGTTAATTATCTTCACACTTTGTGACAGTAAATCGTTAATGTGAGCCTAGACTTCTCTTTGTCACTGACTAGAGAATGAAAGGAAAATCCTAAAAAAAAGATTCTAATTCTAAGATAGTTCTAAGATCTGGCTGCCCAATTTTAGAGCCTCAGGATATTGAAGTCAGTTTTAATTCAGGTTTTATTTAAATTTATTTAAATACCTTTCCAGGTATGTAATGTAACCATTTTGATAGGTTAGTATGTGGCACATTTTTTATACATAAATGAAACTGTTTTGCATACAGCAGATGCATTTCAGTTATGTATCATTTATTGCTGATGTAACATAGTTACCATTGCTGTGAAGATACAGCATTACTCCGAAAAGCTATTATTATACCTTGTTTTAAGATACTTAAGGTAGCTTTCTTAGATTTTTTCTTTCTTTCTTTCTTTCTTTTTTCTTATACTTATAGCTCTGGCTCTTCCAGCAAACCAGCAGGAGCTGATTCTACACACAAAGTCCCAGTGGTCATGTTGGAGCCAATCCGAATAAAACAAGAAAACAGTGGACCACCTGAAAATTATGATTTTCCTGTTGTTATAGTGAAACAAGAATCAGATGAAGAATCTAGGGCTCAAAATGTAATTATATTATGATTGCAATACTACTCCTACTTGAGGGATAGGATGAGAGAAACTTTTAAATAGCTCGTAGGAGATAAAAACTATTATATTTAAATCTTTCAGTTGATCAAAACAAAAAGATGGATGGCAAACAGGGAGAAGAGTTTGAAAAGTCAGAGGTTAAATGAGGAGGTTGGGCATTTGAAAGAGAGAACAGAGTAAAACACATGGAAGGTAATTGCCAAAGCAATAATACAAGGAAACTTCCTGTAACTGAAGGGCATGAGCATCTGAATTGAAAGGGCCTACCAAGTACCAGAACAATTAAATGAAAAAAAGACTCAAGTCATATCCTCATCGATTTCAGAATACCAGTATTCTAAACAGGTTCTAAAAGCTTCCAGAGGAAAAAAACACCTTACATAATGGATCAGACATCATAGTGTCACCAAGTCCTCAACACAGACTCTCAAAGCTGGAAGCCAATAGAGAAAATAACAAAATTGTGAGGAAAGATATTTTGTAGCCAGGATTCTGTACCCAGGCAAATTATCAATTATGTGTAAAGATTAAATAAACATTTTTAGACATGCATGCAGATTCTCAAAAACTTAATTCCATGCACTCATTTGAGAAGATATTTGAGAATATGCTTCATCAAAAATGAATTAAACCAGAAAGAGAAAGACATAAGATCCCATTTCTGGGATCTAACACAGAAGAGAGGCAAAGAAAAGGGTAGTTAGTCCCCAATACAACAGCTCCTCCAGTACACCCTGTAGGAGGAGGACAGAAGACTCCATTAGGAATGTATGTAGTGGGAGAAAAATGCTTTGACAGTATTGAGAAACATTTTATAACCCTGTTGGGGATTGTGAGAATGACTTAGATATCTAGAAAAATAAGCAAATGGATTAAATTTTAAAATATGGTAATTATTGACTCACAGGAAAAACAAAAAGTTAGACAAAAAGGAAGTGTAGTCATAGTACATTTTGTGGTTATGCAATGAACAGTATATAGTCATAATGATTTAAACAAACACCTGAATACAAATTTAAATAAAAACTGGATATAATCAGGATATAACGTGAATATGCATTTGACCAAAAATTGATTTTTCAGGATACTTAACCAGTACAGCAATGATACTGACCAGCTGGAATAGATGCTGGCTATAAACAGTTATACTGGCGCCTCCCAACTAAAAAGAAAACAGTGCTTAATAAAACTATGTTCAGAGGATGGTATGAATGGTGTGTGTAAGTATAAGGAGGGTGTGGAGAATCAGGAAGGAAAAATCTGATCTTCCATAGAAGGGAAAATATATACATTTAAAACTGAAGGGCTTCCCTGGTGGCGCAGTGGTTGAGAGTCTGCCTGCCGATGCAGGGGACATGGCTTCGTGCCCTGGTCCGGGAGGATCCCATATGCCCCGGAGCAGCTGTGCCCGTGAGCCATGGCCACTGAGCCTGCACGTCCGGAGCCTGTGCTCCGCAACAGGAGAGGCCACAACAGTGAGAGGCCTACGTACCGCAAAAAAAAAAAAACCTGAAAATATGTTTAAATTTGAAAATCTGAAAAATTATAGTATAAGCATACTGTTTAGAAGTATGGAGGTAAATAGCAGAGGGAAAAGCTAAATAATTTGAAAATAATTGGCTCCAAGGAATGATATTATATACCTGTGCTTTTAACTAAATCTACATTTATTACTTCAAAATGTTTAAAAATGTTTAAAGGAGATAATAGGTTTTGTTATTAATTTGAAATTTTCACCATTCTAGGCTCAAACATAACATTTAGGTTCATTTTAAAGTTATTAATGGCACTTGCAGAGGTGAAATTACTTCTAAGAATTAAAGCAGTATGCCTTTTTATGAATGATAAAAAATCTGTAGTAGGCCTGTTTTGTGTTTAGATATACTTTGAATTAACAGCTCCAGTAAAATGTATTTATAGTTCACATGGTTGACTTCTACAGTACCCACCCACTGCTATAGCCATCAGCAGATTCAAAGATTTTCCCTGTGTTATCCACACCCTGTTACAGCTGCTGATCTTCTGTTTTGAAGGTATTTTTCAGTAGAGGTCCATGTCTTCTTTACCATTAGGGACAGTTAGCAGTAAACGTATTCTGGTCTCATGCAGATTCACAGACTCCTTTGAAATAACCAGGTGCTCATGAGTGGGCAGACTGCAGTCCAGAATTGCAGTAGTGCTAATAAAGAATGGCAGTTTAAGATACCCATATGCATATGTTAACTCTTTCCACTGCAGACCAACTATCCAAGAAGCATACTCACCTCCCTGCTCTTAAATAGCAGTCAGAGCTCTGCATCTGAAGAGTCTGTGTTAAGATCAGATGCCCCTGATAGCACAGGAGATCAACCTGGACTTAACCAGGAAAATTCCTCAAATGGAAAGTCTGAGTGGCTAGATGCCTCACAGAAGTCACCCCTTCACGTTGGAGAGACAAGGAAAGAGGATGACCCCAATGAGGACTGGTGTGCAGTTTGTCAGAATGGAGGGGAACTCCTATGCTGTGAGAAGTGTCCCAAAGTATTCCATCTCTCTTGTCATGTGCCCACATTGGCAAATTTTCCAAGGTAAGACGGTGCTTGCTTCCCTTCCTTACGTTCTTTCATTATAAATAATAACAGCAATAAACTTTTGATGATCACTGTAACATAAAACCTTTGTAAAAACTTAAACAGGAGTCCACTTGGCATAAATGCATACGCCAAAATTTTCAACACAGGGTTTCCCATACCCTGCCTCCCATTCCCAGTGCTTCTCTCAAAAACCTAGTCTGTTATGAGGAGAAAAAAAAAATAACTGGCCCTTTAAATTATTACAAGGGAAGTACCATAAAGTGTTATCCTTATGCACAACACTGCCATAACTTAGTGCATCTTATTTGCCAGCCATTGAGCTGTATTGTTCACAAATACCTTGAGTAAATTCTCAAACCCTATGAGATGATCATGGTCATAGAGAAGAGCCATTGGGTTGATATCTTAGTTCTTCAAAGGCTGTAGGTTTTGTTTGTTTGTTTGTTTAAGTGAGCCTTGTCCCCAAGACTTTTTTTTTTTTTTAATATTTATTTATTTATTTGGCTGTGCCGGGTCTTAGTTGCAGCATGAGGGATCTTTTAGTTACGGCATGCGGGTTCTTAATTGCAGCATGCAGGATCTAGTTCCCTGACCAGGGATCGAACCCAGGCCCCCTGCATTGGGAGCATGGAGTCTTAACCACTTGACCACCAGGAAGTCCCTTCCAAGACTGTACTTTTAAATATTTATAATTTCAGGGCTTCCCTGGTGGCGCAGTGGTTGAGAGTCTGCCTGCCGATGCAGGGGACACGGGTTCGTGCCCCAGTCCGGGAAGATCCCACATGCCGCGGAGTGGCTGGGCCCGTGAGCCATGGCCACTGAGCCTGCGCGTCCGGAGCCTGTGCTCCTCAATGGGAGAGGCCACAACAGTGAGAGGCCCATGTACCGAAAAAAAAATAAATATAAATAAATATTTATAATTTTAAAGTTATAAGAACAGTACCAAGAGTGCTTCTTTTTCTTAAATCATTTGGGGGGAAAGGTCAATTGTGCCTCACATCAGCCATAGATTAATGTGTGTGTTTATTTTTTTATTTTGTGTATATTTCATGCCTCCTTAACTAGGCTAACGTTTACCACTTAGGCCTGTGAACTCTATTTCTGCTTGCAAGCTCACTCAGCATGGTGCCACGTACAAAGCAGATGTGTGCTAAATCCTCAGTGATTAACACTGATGCCAAATAAGTAATTCTGCATAATAGATGGCATGGAGGGAGGTGGGAAAGGGAGGTGGTGAAGAGAGCAATGATGCATTAGGAACTCAGCCAGATACTTTATTCCCCAACAGCGGAGAGTGGATTTGCACTTTCTGCCGAGACTTATCTAAACCAGAGGTTGAGTATGATTGTGATGCTCCCATTCACAACTCAGAAAAAAAGAAAACTGAAGGCCTTATCAAACTAACACCAATAGATAAAAGGGTAAGTTTCCAACCTAGACTGTTAAAACAGTTGTTTTGGTTAGATGCATTAGTACGATGCAGATGTGTCTTCATCAAAGAAGTGTATATTCAGTCCAATTTTATACTGCTTTTTTCTTTAGTACTCTTTTTCCACAAAAAAGTAACAGTCTTAAATAATGACAGATTTAGACTTTTAAATTTAGTCTACCTTTAGTCAGTTTCGGGTTTGATTCAGATATGTTTTCTTCCTCAGAATTTGTTAAGAATTGGCACCAAAGAGATGGGTTTTTCTGTTTACTCTTCCTGGAAATAATTACATCCTTTCACCAAATGGCACTAGATTTATACCTCAAAGCTAGCTAATATATTTAACTGTAATTAACATTTAAAGCTACTAAGTCAACACTCCTTTAGCACTAAAGAAGCTCCTTTGCTAAATTATTAAGTAGAACAGTCAGCATGAAAGTTGTTGTGCAAGAGAGAGCTGAAACATGCACTGCCACTGCTACACAGTGTTCATTGGGGTAAACTTGTAAGCAGAGAAGTAGCAGAGTACATGATGGAACCATCTGCATTCAGAGAGGGGTCCTTAGGACCCAACACCCCATGGCAGGGGCTCTACCTCTGGATCTCAACATATGGATGTTCTTCTATTAATTTGTGTACTATTAATAATTCAGTACACAAATTGGAGAGAGAAGTGGAAATATATTTTTAAACAACTTCAGATAGGTTTCTAGTGATACTGCTTTTGTTCCTGTAATTATAACGACTGCTCTCACATATGACATACACCCCAAAATGTCAAACAGTACACTGTAGTAAATGATTGAAATGGACAGCAAAGCTCCAAGTATCAGTATTTTTCTTGTATTCATCTGGTTTTAACTTTTATTCTGATACTTTGAGACCTGTAACGTTGTTGCTAAAAATTAGCCATGACTTCATTATTTCATTATATTTTCATTTTATTTATTGCTTAGAAGTGTGAACGCCTACTTTTATTTCTTTATTGCCATGAAATGAGCCTGGCTTTTCAAGACCCAGTTCCTCTAACTGTAAGTATGGATGTTATTTTGTGCTTTTTTTGTACAGTGGGATGATTTTTCTGAAACTCGATTTATGACAATCTAGTTTCTGTACCATTTTTCAATAGTAAGTTTCTTACATTAATCCAAATCTTAAAGCTTATTAATACATACTGCATGCTTTAATCTTAAGCACATTTTAAGGTTAACAAACTGGCCCAAAACTTCTTTTCTCATATATTCTTTCTTCTCATCTCATGTATTTTACCTACTATTCCCTGGGATGATTTCTATCAATTGTTTCTCTCTCAGGAGTTTTAGGTATATATCCTAAAGCTGTTGGGAAAAAAACTTGCCATTTGAGATAAAGACCTCTCCAAATCTCTGTGCACATTTTGATTTATAGGTCCAAACTTCAAGTAATAAGTAGACTTTAACAGTAGAGGAAGAGGTGTGTGTTTGTGTGTGTTTACCATTGACTTCAAAAAACTTCATATTTAAAATTTGATGTGACTTCAGTGCATAATTTTAGAGTGCTGGAAATGGCCTGCTACTCAAAATGTGTTCTTCTCTGAGGTCTGAAATTCCTTTAAAAAGCTAATAGATTTGTTGAACAGTTCAATAAATTTAGAAAATTTAATGCAACATTAGAAAAGAAAACAAGCTTAGCAAATATATTGAGCTGATAAACAGTGAACTTCTGTCCTGAAAACAAGTTTTGAGAAGTTGAGATAGGAATAAGGAATACAGTTGACTCTTAGAACAAGGCAGAGGTTAGGGGCACCGACTCTCTGCACAGTTGAAAGTCTGCATATAACTTTACAGTCAGCCCTCTGTATCTGCAACTTCAACCAACCACAGATCCTGTAGTAATATAGTATGAATTCAGTGAAGAAAATTCGTGTATAAGTGTACCTGCACAGTTCAAGGATCCACTGTAAATAGTTTTTAGGGGGAAGGGTCCTTTGTACCCAAAAGAGCCAGGGCAAAAATATGCCAGTAAAAACTTCATTCATTTAAAAAGTTAACCTAGAATTTGGCACTTTTTATGATGTTGGCTTATAGTTACATTTGGCATTAATAGCAGCAGCAAAATAGCCCCCTTTTTCTTAATATATATCATCTCATTTAGTCTTCACAAAATCCTATGAGATTGGTAGAATTATTTCTATTTGAAATATGAAGAAACAGGTTCAGTGAAATGACTGAACCCAGTAACTTACCCAGGAGAATGCTAGTGAGTAGCAGAGCTGGGGTTCAAACCCAGATTCAAAGCCCACTTGCTATAACACATGCAGCAAAAGCATGTCAAATCTTACTAGAAGTAATACTTTTTCTAGTGATTGCTTTTTGTTTAATAATGAAGGAGAATAGTAAGAGGGAAAATGTGGTAAGTTTTTTTCATTAAAAATAACTGGTGAAGATTTTTGATAAAAGTGACACTAAACATTTACCAATGTGTGGAAGCATTCAGGCACTTGTAAATTTTGCTGAATAAATTTCCTTATCAATGACAAAATAGAAGAGAGAAAAGCAATGAGAACAATCTGAATTTTATACTACTTCTTATAGGATTTATATAGGACCAGGTAGAATTTATTTATTATAGCATCTCATATCTTTTGAAAGGTGCCAGATTATTACAAAATAATTAAAAATCCAATGGACTTGTCAACCATCAAGAAAAGACTACAAGAAGATTATTCCATGTATACAAAGCCTGAAGATTTTGTAGCTGATTTTAGATTGATCTTTCAAAACTGTGCTGAATTCAATGAGGTGAGAAGAAAAAAAAATAATAGCAATGTGAAAGTAATGTTAAACCAAACACCTTACCAACAAACGAGGAGATCAAGATATCTATCTGTGGTAGCATAAATAACCAAAAGTTCAAGTCTGTCAGGGAATGAAAGAGGTAGTTAGGAAGACTTTATCCACCTGTATATTCAAAGATTTATTATATGGTGACAACTTGAAAACAATTTAGAAAATATTTTTATCTTTACATTTTAACCCAGAAGCACCTTTATTTCTTGAAATATGGCACTTCACCAGAGTTCAGTCTTTGTGATGTTGATATTAAAACATTAAGAATGTGGTTTAGATAGTTCTTAATTAAGAATTTTCTCAAAAACTTTATCATCTGTTTATCTAAACATCAGACTTATAGCCTCTTGTTGATAGTTTGTCCTTTGTATTGGCTACTCATTCCAGAGTTCCACGTTTCATTTAATTTGTTCTAAAAATACCTGTTAGATGATTCTCTGATTATGGCATCTCTGTGATATCTCTTTGGTAATCCAGATGAGTCAAAGCCTTTTATTTACTTCTTATCTGATCTTCTCTAGATTTTGTCTAGCCCCAGACTTTTGTTTACTTTATATCAAAGCTATACATAAACATTTTCTCCAAAACAATCCACTGATATTCATAATCTTCAGTTAGAAGGGAACAAAAATGTGAGAAATCCACGACTTTATTGACTATCTAAAAATTTTTTTTAATTCTTATTTTTATTCAACAGCCTGATTCAGAAGTAGCCAATGCTGGTATAAAACTTGAAAGCTATTTTGAAGAACTTCTGAAGAACCTTTATCCAGAAAAACGGTTTCCTAAAGTAGAATTCAGGAATGAATCAGAAGATAATAAATTTAGTGATGACTCAGATGATGACTTTGTACAGCCCCGGAAGAAACGCCTCAAAAGCATAGAGGAACGCCAGTTGCTTAAATAAGCAACACCACTGGCGTGTGCTGGTTTTTAGATTTTTTTTTTGTTTTCAAAAAACATTTTTGTCAGTAATTTAACATCATTACCAAGAAGAGCTTGTGACCACTTTAAGTTTTCAATGTTTACTAGACTCTGATTTCCTTAATAACCCATTTCTTTTAACCTTATTAAGAAAGAAAAAGAGGGAGGAAGGAAGGAGAAAGGAAGAAAGAAAGAAGCATCAACAACAAAATAAAAAGACATTCTCCCCACTTATTGGATTTCAAACTGCAGTCTGGAGTGATAGCAACTATAGAAAGGAAATAGACTTTGTTTGAACTCTAAGTTGAAAATTTAATGTGGTTTGGATGTGTGCGTTAATCCATTTTTAGAAAATACCACTACTCATTAACTATGGACCAACCATGAGTTAGGTGTACTGTACGTAAGAGCAGTACTCCAATGAATATGAGTGGTAATAAGAGTTCTATTCTAGGATGCCCACTGGTGCAACGAAAAAGTAGATTAGATGCTATTAAGAAGGCACCTAATAGTATATCATGTAAGATGGCAATTGTATTAAAGAAAAAGGAAAACAGATGTTTGATTTTTGTTTTTGTTTTTTTCCTGTCTATAGAGGTGTGTTTGGTATAGCAGGTTTTCAAGCCCATTTTTCGTACATTTCTAAACCTACCTTCTTCCACTGAGGAAGTAAGTGTACTCGTTTGGTTTTGCTGTGTGTCTGTGTGTGGTTTGTTGTTTGCTTTTTAACTGTGCCAGGTGATCCTTTTATAACAAGACTCATTGTTTTCAGTATGGCTTTTAGTGGAGCTGTCCAGAATACGCAATACAGCAGTGTGTGCCGTATTTGATGTAAGGATTCTTCAACTTATACCCTATTGGGCATTAAATATAAATTCCCCTGAAAGGGACCAGTTTTTGTGGTTTTCATCTGTCTTCATAAATTGGAATGAAGTGTGTTGTGGAATTTGGGAGCAGGCAACTGGAGGAAGTTAGAGTGAAATTTACATTTTTTTCTGAAGCATCTATTTCCCATTCTTCAGAGGCAGAACCTCAAACTGAATCTTTCATCTGACTTAATTCTGGACTTCATGTTCATTCTCCTGATAGAGATACAAAAGACCTACCTTCTGAGGGCAAGCATATTCTTAATGGGTCAGACCTAGCTAGTTTACTGACTTTCATTTATTCCTTTTACTTGTTGTTCAGTATCAAAGAAGGAAACTAGGTTAAGATAGAAGAAAATTATTGTGCCATTTGCTAATCTAACATTTGACAGTATATTTATATGTGAACTTTTTTAGTTTGCCAAAGTAAACCTTTATTTATAAAACATTAATTGGCTGAGGAAATTTTCCTCTCTAGGCTGATAGAATGAAAATATAGCTGACTTGAAAGAATTTTATCCTTTGGATAGTGTCATCTCCCATGAATTAAACCTAGAGGATTTGCTTGTATCCACATGGCATTAGTTCTTAAAATGGACAGTTTGAAAATATCCTGTGGCTAAGTCATTGGGTTTTCAGATACTGCTAAAGATAAAATGAGAAAAGAACTTACTGGCAAGAGCATCTTTTCTGTGTACACTTAGGTTTAGTCCATAATATGTCAGTTATGTACTAAAGGTTAAAAAGTCTTAATCACTTTTCCAAATATGTGTTTTAGGGTGGTAGTTGTTGTTGTTGTATTGTTTTGAATATGTGTTTGACATTTATTCTCCAAAGACTTGAACAAATTTTGATAATAGTGCATATACCACCAATTGTCTTCTTTTGCTCCAGCATTTTTAGCACAGCAGCCATGGAGCTTTTCCTAATAAGTTTATTGTTTTTATTTTAGAATACTATTCTTATGATAGTTTTTTCTTCGATACTTGTCTCCTGAGTTAAAGCAGGGCACCACAGGTAAATTTTGAGGATGATCACAAAGGGAAGTAGCACTTAAGAGAGAAAAATTATAATTTTGTAAATGCATCTGAGCCAGAATTTCTACTAATATACCCAAAACTTTCACTGTTATTATTCAGTGCCATATTAATCTTTTCAAACAATATTTTTCTTTCACCTTTATCATTTTTTTGCAGAATGAAAGGCACTTGAAAACCATCTTTCCTGTAATCATACATAATATATACTAAAAGTATTTCTCCAAATAACATTTTCTTAATGATCTGAAAATTAAAGTCCTACGACCTTATTAACAGGTGCCTGTGTGTCCAGGTGGATCCCAGCAAAGTAGTCCTTAAATTATAATAGTAGTAAGCTATAAGATGAGCCTAAGTAAACCTCATGCCCATTTGGAAAGCATTCCTTTCAAAAGGTCAGTGCAACTCAAGCAACCTTGACCTAAACTTAAAAAACTCCAGTGTTTACCTCTGATCAAACACTCCAGGAGATTACCCTCTGGATTTAGAACCAGTAGCCTTATGTCATATCTGCAAGACCCCCCAATGCTGAATGGGATCACATGATGAGCAGGCCATGTGGCAGCTAGAATATACTCAATCCTGGGAAACTCATCGAAAGCTTTCCCAGGTGCCAAGCATCTGATCTTTCCAGCAAAAAGGAAACCCAGTACACAGTTAGTGACTTACATGGCTTTGGTAGAAGTATAAATGGATAATGTATACCATATTAAATTCAAAATACTATTGTACTTCAGCACCTGGCAATGCAGTTATTTTGTCCTTTAAATTAACAGGCCCTGCTTATCTTTTCTGAGTGGAAGTGTAGGAAATTGGAAGGTCCTGAGAGGAAAATGTCCTCTTCCCTTGGTAGCTTTACTTTCTTTTCCAAGCTAAAGAATAGGCTCCACATTTTACTACTACACAGTAGTGTAGATGTAATACAACTTAGGGATGCTTTCAAAAAAGATTCACTCCACAGTCAAAAGGGTGAGTATATAGCCGATTGCTCCATTTATGAATTTGTGTTTCAATTTTCTATTCTGTTACAGTGTTTAAACTTTTAAATTGGGGTTCCGTGGAGAGACTAGTTAGACAATGAAAGGAGGAACTCCCCCTTTTGTTGAGGCCTGATCTACAAGTGAACGTGAATCCCAACAGTAGGTTGCTGCACTGAAGCAAAAGGTTTTTAGGTTTAAATAGAAGGTATATTTATTTTCTGTTTATCTGTATCTGTTATGAATGAGAGAAATTGAGTGATCTGATTGACCATTAAAATTATGGACATAACCATGAGTTCAACCGTCTAATTATTGAAATAGAGGCCCTCATTTAAAATAACCATGCATATACATATTTTTTGAAGTATTATATAACCTCATGTAAGTTAAGAGTTCATGTCTTTTTATTTATATTGCCCCTTCATCTTTGGTGTGAATTTACTAAAATTCACAGGTTGGTGGCTCATGGTCTTGAGTGAGAATAATGCTAGCCAATCAGATCACAGATTTCTCTGCCCATGAAGGTTTCACTTATTGTGAAGTATATCTGAGACCGTAGTCTTCGTTGTTGTTTTTAATTTGCGGGAGTCAACTGGTGCTTTGATTTTAATAAAAATCAGCTTTGATGAATTTTTACTGTGAATATTTTACCACAACAAGGTATTTTTAATGGAAAAATTACTGTATGTCATGCAGTAGAATATTAACTAGTTCGGGTCTCCATTACTGCCTTTGTATGTTCCTCTATAAAATCAATACATATAGGGATGATCTATTAGTCCATAAAAATAATAGGAAAACTTTTTTTAAAAAACTCTATAACACATGGATTTCACCAGCTTTAACTAAACAGAAAGTTAATTTAGCAAACAGGAAGGAAGAGGGTGATAGATAATATTCAATCGAGGAGTCCCACCCCCCTGAAAGGAGAACGAAAGATGCCATGAAAAATTCTACTTGTCTGAAACCTATTGGAAGAGGCGGGGCTTGGGGGGGTGGGGGTGGGGCACAAAAAGTGGGGAATTTACAAGTCACTTTGAAAGTTTGCCTATGTTAATTTCACCTATAAAGTTTGGAAAGTTCTGATTCTCAGATATTACAAGTATTTTTAAAACTCCGTTTTGAATATTTTCTAGATGTTACATTGATGGGGGTGGGAAAAGCCTTCTCTTTGATTCTTAAATGTGTTTTTAACTAGAATAATAGTCCTAATTTGAGTCCTAGAAAAAAAATCCTTCCTTAGAAGTTAAACATTTAGCAAAATTCTATCTTTCCCACATTTTCAAGTGTGGTGTGGAAGAAAGGCTATTTTAATATCGTCTGCCATATATGAGCATACTTGTGAATGTGAATTCTTTACCCATGTCCTCTACTGCCTTTAATCCAAGACAAGTGAGCCAGAAAATTCAGTCAGAAAACAGTGGCTGAAGTCTAGTTCTCACTGAGGGGAGGGGATGGAATATAAGGATCAACCAGGGTTAAACAGATGTCTCAGCCTTGGAAGGGGAAGGTACTTATTTGAGAAGTGACATTTTCCCAAAGAAAATCAGGGCATTCTTAATAGGAGAGACAACAAGCTCAGTGAGCCACCAGGTACCATGCTTTGGCAATGATGCTGGTTCTCTAATCTGATTGTTTAAGGCATTTACTGATGAGGGTGTATGTTAGAAAAGCCCAAAATACAAAAAGTCCAGAATAAAGGTTTTGACGTTCATCTTACAGGAGGATTTTTTTTTCTTTTTGCCACTATAGACTGTGCTCTGAAGAGACTTACAGAAATCAAATTTCCTTCTATACATAAAACTATGGATTCAGACAAATTCCACCTCTGTCCTATTGCAGAAAGCAAAATATGCTTTATAGAGATTCCAGTTGTTACTGTTTTTAATACCTCAACCAGTACTGTCTTTTTTTTAACATCTTTATTGGAGTATAATTGCTTTACAATGTTGTGTTAGATTCTGCTGTATAACAAAGTGAATCAGCTATACATATACATATATCCCCATATCTCCTCCCTCTTGCATCTCCCTCCCACCCTCCATATCCCACCCCTGTAGGTGGTTGCAAAGCACCGAGCTGATCTCCTGTGCTATGTGGCTGCTTCCCACTAGCTATCTATTTTACATTTGGTAGTGTATGTATGTCAGTGCTACTCTCTCACTTCGTCCCAGCTTACCCTTCCCCCTCTCCCTGTCCTCAAGTCCATTCTCTACATCTGTGTCTTTATTTCTGTCCTGCCCTTAGGTTCATCAGAACCATTTTTTTTTTAAGATTCCATATATATGTATTAGCATACGGTATTTGTTTTTCTTTTTCTGCCTGACTTCACTCTGTATGACAGACTCTAGGTCCATCCACCTCACTACAAATAACTCAATTTCGTTTCTTTTTAATGTCTGAGTAATGTTCCATTGTATGTATATGCCACATCTTCTTTATCCATTCATCTGTTGATGGACCCTTAGGTTGCTTCCATGTCCTGGCTATTGTAAATAGTGCTGCAATGAACATTGCGGTACATGACTCTTTGAATTATGGTTTTCTCAGGGTATATGCCCAGTAGTGGGATTGCTGGGTTTTATGTCAACCAGTATTGTCTTTTAGTGGGCTGTGAAACCAATCCAAAAAAGTTCTTACAAGTCAATGACTTAAAATTTGTTGACTTCCATTTCTACTACTGCCTGATACTATTAAGGTAAGCAATATATATGAGTTTATAAAGGATTTCTGAAATTGAGTGTTTGAATTAAATTATGTTGATAAAATTTGCTATAGACTAATGTAATGTCTTCTAGGAAGCCTGGGTACTAGACAGTACTAGACAACATTGTGAAGTATCTTAAGCCTGGATACCTCCACAGGTATTGAAAGTTCCTAAAATCCTTGGGAAGGTGCTTAAGCATCAGTTTTATCAGTGGTTGACTGTGGTTTTCAATCACTGCTATCCTTCGGTGTTAATTATAAATTGCTGCTAACGTCAGCTTTGGTGTTTTGAATTACAGTTTGTCATGGGTTGTTTAGCTAACCCTACATGTGTAGCCTAGACATCTTTCATCAAAAATATTTTAGCCTAAGACTTTCTAATAACTAGACTAAGAGAGGTCTGCAAACTATTTAAAATGATTAAAGATGACAATTTAGGTAATCCAAACAAACTTCATTTAACATTTCATGAAGAGGGCAGTCTCCATTTGCAGGGGTTCAGAGAACAGCAAAACGGGGTGGAAGGCAGGAAGTTTTTATGAGGTAAAGAATAAGGAACAAGGAAGTAAGTACAGAGGCCAGAGTTTGCTTGGTATTTGGTGATTGGCTGACTGGATATACAGCGTTTCTGGTCAAGCAGAGCATTTATTGGACATGAAAGTTATTAAGTTTTGGTTTGCCTAGGTGGCACCCCCAGCAGGAGTGGCTTTGTCTTGGGCCTAGAATGTGCCTAGTACCACCTTTTGATCATCCTCTTGACCATCTACTTTATCTTCAGTTTGCTTCTTTATATCAGGGAGAAGATCTTCAACTAAGATAAAAATTAAAAGATTCCTATGTTCTAGATTTAGAGTTGTCTGGAATATTTTTTTCTCCCCTCTGGGTACATAGTTTTATTTTTAGCTTGGGGGTGGGGGAGGGGAGAAAGCCTAAAAAGTTTCTATCTGGCTCTGAATATCAGCTTCTAGTTCAGCCAACTTCTGACCATAAAGTTACTTTAAAAAAAAAAAAATTCTTTCAAATACCCTATCAAGTTTCAAACTGGACAAACAGTAACTATTCCTGGCAGTACTGAACACCACCAAAATATACTCCCAAGATCTAGAGCCACTCCCAAAGATGGCCAAAAGAATGAAGTACTTGGACAATTCCTCTGAGAGCTGGCAACAGTTGGTAGGCTGCAAATGGGACACAACCCACATTTCTGTCCAACCATATTCTGGGGCCTGATGGTTGAGCTGCCTCCATACATAAGAACCAACAACCTGCATGTGCCAGCAGGCAGAAAGCCAAGCTCTCAGGACACAAGAAGGCAATAGCTATCCCTGGGACAGAAAGGATCAATAACCAATGAGTTCCCAAAATCAAATTCCCAAGGGTCTGAATTTGGAAAAGGAAGGACGTGAAATTTCTCTCTTGACCAGCAACTACAGGGTTCAGGAAGAGGTGACATTGGTAGGAATTCTCACCTCTGGCTGTGGCTTCTGCCAGTTTCCCCAGAACCCCATTCTGCAGACCCCGCAGAGTGGAGTTTATAGTGAAGAGTGTAAGTTCTGGTATCTACCAGAATTTGACAAGGTTTTCCATGAGTTTTAATTTTAGTTTCCACTTGGCTGTTTCAGGGAATAACTGATAGAAGTTTATCAGAATCCTTCAGAGTCCCATCAACCCTGGGAGGGACCCACATGAGGGCCCTCCTTTGAGAGTAGATACCGGGGGTATTCAAGTTCAGGGGAGGGGGTGGGTATTATTATCTTAGGTTTCTGGCCTTGGAGCTGCTGCAATTTGAAAACCAACTTGAATTTTTGTTTTTGGTCTTGTCTCTTCAGAATGGAAAGGCAATTCAGGTAAGAGGATTAGTAGACAGTGAGTACTTGGGTAAAGGAAAATAGAGGGGAGTTTTAGGAGTCACGTTGGTCTTATTGTCTTGTTTCGTTCTTTAATGAAAAATTAGCCTTTTGCGTTGAATCTTGCAATGAAGTTGATTTGGAATTTTGAAGCCTTTTGGAATCTAATGCATACCAGTTAAAATAGGTGTCCCATTCTGGTTGATTTGGAAACACTTACTTTCAAGTGTGGTTCTTAAACAATATGTCTAATTGGAATGTTCCCCATGATAGCCATTGTAATGCTAGGTTGTCTTAGTGAGACTTGCCATTTTTGTAGATGTCTGCAGCTTCCAGGACCACAATTATTAGACAAAATGAGCAGGTGTGCCGGAAGGTGGAGTGCTCAATTCTTTGAAACTCGAGGATCCCAATTCTTAGGTAAGCATTGGATGTTTGAGAACCAAATTAATACCTAAGAGAGGTGTACTGCTAGGTTGGGGATTTTGTGGTATTTTACAGTGTACCTTGTTGCACAGAATTTTTCTTGAGGTTGTCAGGTGGCGCAGTGTCAGTGTAACCCGTTGCATGACCAACTTAGCACAGGAGCCTTAGATTTAGGTGGCCAGTGCTTTAACGTCTTTTAAGTGTTTGATCCATGCCCACCACTTTTGCAGCTTTGGCTTCAAGATTCGCATTAGCAATTGATCTATGTAATCCTTAAATGATAAGTTGTTTTTTTTTTTTTTTTTTTGCGGTACGCGGGCCTCTCACTGCTGTGGCCTCTCCCGTTGTGGAGCACGGGCTCCGGATGCGCAGGCTCAGCGGCCATGGCTCACAGGCCCAGCCGCTCCACGGCATGTGGGATCTTCCCGGACCAGGGCACGAACCCGTGTCCCCTGCATCGGCAGGCGGACTCTCAACCACTGCGCCACCAGGGAAGCCCGAGATTTCTTTATGCAAGTGGCAGTCACCCTAATGACTTTAATAGTATGACTTGTGCTACTTAGATTTTGTTGTGCCATTAGTTCAAATAGTACTAATTTCTTGTTTTAGTTTTCCAAGTCTCCCCGTGCTTTATGCTGTGGACTTATGTTT